TGGGTGCAGGGTGTGCTGGGTGCGGAGGGATGTTGGGTGCGGGGGGATGCTTGGGTGCGTGTCTGTGGGTGATGCTGGGGGTGTGTCTATGGGTGATGCCTGGGTTGTGTGGGTGTTTCTGGCTGCGGGGAGGATGCTGGGGGTGTCTCTGTGTTAATTCTGATTACGAAGGAGTTTTGTGTGTGGTGTGTGCGTCTGTGGGTGATTCCGGCGAGGAGGGTCCGTTCGTGTCCCCGTGTCCGTGTGTGTCCCCGTGTCTGTGTGTCTGTGTCAGTGTCTGTGGGGGACAACGTGTGCGGGGGGGTTCCGTGTGTGCGTCCACGGGTGACTCCAGTTGCAAGGGGTCCATTCGTGTCCCTCTGTACGAGTGTGTCCCCGTGTCCGTTCGTGTCCCCATGTCCGTTCGTGTCCCCCTGTCCGTGTCCCTCTGTCCATATCCCGCTGTCCGTGTCCCCATGTCCGTGTCCCCCTTCCGTGTCCTCTGTCCGTGTCCCTCTATCCTTCTCCCCCTGTGTCCCTCTGTCCGTGCCCTCTGTCCGTGTCCCCCTATCCTTCTCCCCCGTCTGTCTGTGTCCCTCTGCCGTGTCCCCGTGTCCGTGTCCCCCTGTTCTTGTCCTACTCTCCGTGTCCCCTGTCCATGTTCCCTTGTCCGTGTCCCCCTGTCCGTGTCCCCTGTCCATGTCCCCTGTCGGTGTCCCCGCGCGGGCTCCGCCGCTGCAGTACCGTGTCCCTCCTGCCAGGGGGCGCTGGCGGCGGGCGCTGCTCTGCGGCGCGGGGCGTGGCCGTACCTGGGCGTGGCCGGGGCGTGGCCGATGACGCAGTTCCCCAAGCCCCGCCCCCGGTCAGCTGAGCGCGCCGCACCGCCCCCCCCCGCGCCCCCCCGACCCCCCCTCATCCTCCTCCTCCTCCTCCTCTTCCCTCCGCCCTCCGCATCCCTGCGCCGCCACCCGCAGCCTCGCCCGGCCGTGCGCGCCTCTGGGTGCCCCCCTGAACCCCCCCAGCCGCTGCCCCCCCCCGGCACGGAGACATGGCCCCCATCGGACTCAAGGCTGTGGTGGGAGAGAGTAAGATCCGCGCTCCTCCGCGGGGTTTGGGGTGGGGGGCAGCGCGGGGGCGGGGGGCCGGAGCGGCCCCGGCCGGGGGTGGGGGGATGCTGCGGATGCGCAATACGGACCCGCGGGGGGGACACGGCGACACGGGACACCCCCGTGGGGACACGCTGGCGTTGTGTGCTGGGGGGGGTCCGGGGTGCTGTCACCTTCCGGGGTGTATTTGTTGAATTTTTACCGGTGTAAATACCGGGGGCTTTTCTGCAGTGCTGGGGGAGGGGGGGGATTGGTGGCGGGGCCACGGTGGAAAAGCGAGGGGGGAACAAGGAGGCCAGAGACGCTCGGGCACCCACGGTTTTATCCCCCCTCGACCCCCGTGGCCCCCAGGCTCTCAAAGGGCCGAGGCTGAGCCCCGACGGGGGGCACAGAGGGGTGCAGACCCCCCCAAACCCTCCCCCAGCGCAGTGCCAGGCAGGGCCCTCCCGCTTTGTCTGCAGCAAATCCCGCTCAAACGCTGGGGTTCATTTCATTATTATTCTTATTCCTATCATTATTACTATTATTTTCCCGGATGTGCCTCTGCTCCCCCAACCCGGGGGTCCCCCTGTGCGGGTCCCCCGCTCCCCGGGCATCCCTTGCCCGCGGGGGTCCCGCTCCCCCGCGCTATTCCCGGCCGGAATATTCCCGGGAGCCGCGGGCGGGGGCACGGCGCGATCGTCCCCGGCTCCGCTTCCTCCTTCCCGGCTGTTGCAAGGCGATATTTTCCCGGGGGGGAACGGGGGGGTTGTTCTCCAAAAAACACCCGAGGCTGGACGAGGAAGGAGGGGCGCTTCTTTCCCCGGGGCGAAATTAAGGCGAAAAAACTCCGCATTAAGAAAAAAAAAAAAGGAAAATGAAAGGGCAGGAACCGGTGGGAACTTCCCCCCGCAGCCATGAGCCTTCCTCCTCCTCCTCCTCCCCGCCTCTCGCAGGGTTTATTTCCGTGGCACCGTGGCCGGCCGCGGCCGGATCTGGGTGTTTTTTTTTGGCTTTTGGATGGGTTTTGGGGTGTTTTTGGCGTGCCATCCGTGCCCGTGGCCATCCCCCCGCCCTCCCTCGCCCGCTGCAGATGGCGCGGCCGGGGCTGGTGGTGTGATCGGGTGGGTGGTGATGGGCAGGGGGGGAAAACGGGGGGGGATCCCCACGGATCCATGGCCCTGCCACCGTGCCGGTGTCACCTGCCGCGGGCACGGGGGGCTGCGCCATCCCCCCGCCCAGCCCGGGCTGCTGCATCGGCCACAGAGCCCAAAATGGACGAGGAAAGGCAGGGAAATGTCCCGGTGTTCCTGTGCTGCAGGGTCGGCGCTGGGGAGGGGAGGCTGGCTATGGGGCTTTGCTGGGGTTGTTTTTTGGGGGGGCTGGTCCCGGAGGGGGCACCGGGGCTGTCCCGGCACGGTGGGATGCAGAGTGGGGGGGTTGGACCCGCTGCCCACGCAGCCCTGGCAGTGCCACATGCGGTGCCCTGGCCGAGAGGGGACAGAGACCAGCGCCACTGCGTGCCCCTTATTTTCATTCATTGTCTCTGCGCCGGAAAAGGCTGGGGGAGAGCACAGACACACACACAGACACGCAGAGAGAGGTTCAAGGCAGCATCAGGGAAATCTGACTTAATCCTCCCCTTCAGGGTTTAGTGCCAAACTGCTCCGTTCTTTCCATGAAAAGCATGATTCCAGACTGAAAATGATAATGTGGAGCTGGGCAGCCGGGCTGGCGGGGAAGCGTGGGTGGCTGCGAGGGGGGAGCAGGGTTTGTGCAGGCAGAATGCTGCAGAGGAGCCAGGGGTGGCACCGGGGGAGCACCCTGGGGTCCAGCCCTGCCCCTGCAGGGATTGGGGTGCTCCTTGGGCTGCCACGGGGGGCTCCTGGGCTTGGTGCATCAGTGCCTGCCTTGGGGGGGGCTGCTCCACCAGGCAAGAGTTGGGAGCAGCCTGCAGGATCCCCAAAGCCCCCGTGCCTGGGCAGCGGTGCGGCTGGCACGAGATTCCCTGGGCTGCGCCAGCCTGGCGCTCCCTGGAGGTTTTCCTGCAGGAGACGTTTGCTCCTGAGGAGCCAGAGGGCCAAGGCTGGGGCTGACCCCGAGGCAGGACATCTCCTGTGGGCTCCTTCTCCAGGAGGAAGGCAAGGAAGGAAGGAAGGATGGAGTGATGGGGAGGATGCTGCCGCGTTGCCATGGCTCGCTCCGCCAGCCCCCCCTCCCGAGCTGCATTCTGCCCTGGCTTCCCTCCAGACCCGGATTATTCCTCTGACCAGCTGGTGCCATAACAAGACGGGGTTTGGAGGCCTCTGAAGAGGTGGGAGGTGGTGGGCATGGGGAGAGGTGGGCCAGGGCTGCAGGAAGAGAAGGGCAGAAGCAGATTGTCACCCCCAGAGCTGTGGGGTGTGTGCTGGGGGTGTCCCTGCGCCTTCCCGAGGTGTCCAGCGATGGTGACTGCATCCTCCTGGACCTGCTGTTGTCTGGATAGGTTGGAGCTGAGTGTGCTTGTCCCCAGAGGTGATGCCTGAGGACCAGGTCCTCCTGCTGTGTCTGTCCCCTCCCAGGGAGAGCTGTCCCCTCTGCCCTGGTGCTGGTTGGGAAAATCTCACCTGAGAGTGGCAGCTCTGGGGACACCCATCCCCAAATCTTCACCTGACCCCCAGCTGCACGGATATCATCCCCAAATCTTCACCTGACCCCCAGCTGCACGGATATCATCCCCAAATCTTCACCTGACCCCCAGCTGCACGGACATCCCTCCATCCTCTAATGCCCCTTGGATCTTCTCAGGGCCACTTTCCCCGAGCTTGCCCTGCCCAGCCCAGTGCTGGCTCTCCTGCAGCAGCCTGCAGTGAGGAGGAGGAGGAGGCTGGCTTTACTTCACTGAACTGTCAGCAGCGAGGAGAGACGGGCCCTGCTGCAGGGGTGACACCTGTGCAGCTCCTGCCACCACGCTGGGCTGCTGCAGGACACAGCTGGAGCACATGGATGTGATTCTATGCTGGATCCAAAATCCCCTGCACCCCTTCAGGCTCCCCAAAGGCTCCTTCTGCTCCCGTTGCTGTCACGGGCAGGTGGGAGAGGCAGAGGAGCCCTGGGATAAGGAAGCACTTTGCAGAGACAGCAAGAGAACACCTTTCCCCCAGGCCACCAGGTGATCCTCCCACGGAGCAGCCTCACCTGCACGGCCTCCCCCAGAGCTGACCTGTGCTGGTGCCTCCTGCCAGGGCTGTGCCCAGGAACCCCACGGCCAAATCCTGCCTGGACAAGGTGTGACACTGCCCAGTGCCACTCCATGTCCCCAGCTGGGCCTCTCCAGGGTCCAGCCCTGCCTCGGGATGACTCAGGGACTCAGGCTGGGGTTGTGCTGCACCTGCAGGGACAGGGAGGAGGCAGGGGCAGGGCTGGGGCTGCTGCCAGCCTGGGGCACAGCCTGGGGACCTGCTGGACCTGACTCAGCCCGGCTGTTTGGGGCACCTTGCAGCTGCCAGCAGCCCCTGCTGAGGGCACAGGGAGCCTTGGAGGGTCAGATGCTGCTCGGGGAGGATGTTCTGAGCCTGTCTCAGTGCCCAGGGGACACGGCTGGTGTGCTGCCCATGCCAGGCCTGGAAGGGCTGTGCCAGGCAGAGAGGAAGAGGAGGCAGCAAAGGGCACAGGGACCATTGGAGGGGTGCCCGTGGCATCCTCTTGCCTGCACAGGGCACAGCTGTGACCTCAGCCTGCTGCAGAACTGGATGGGTGAGGAGCAGGAGGTCTCTGCACCCTGTCCCCCACCATGAGTGGGAGCAGACCCTGAATTCCAGTGGCTCCCTGGGCAGCCCATCCTCCCAGTTGCCATTTCCCTGGAGTCCCCGTGGTGCCACCAGCCTGGTGTGTGGGTACAGGAACGGGCAGAGCCTCTGCTGGGGCTGCAGCTCTGTCACCAGGCTGTGTCTCACCTCCGGTGTCAGCTCCAAGTTGGAAAAGCTTGAAAAAACCGTTGTAAAATTCAGTGTTCACCATCTCAGGCCTTGCAGAACAATTTCAATCTCCAGACCACAGTCTGCACCAGGGGCTGAGAAACTCCTGCCCATATGTGAGCATGGAAGGGGACCAAGAGTGACAAACCTCAGTTTGGCAGGACTGCATCCACTCACCAGTGCCTGCACGTGCAAGAAGGTTAAAAAAGCCACTAACAGAGAGGATTTAGACTCTTTCCCTCTTAAATAGAAAAGAAAATATAAGGTCTGTGTCTGATTCCTCTGCACCTCTTGGAGAAAGGGTCTCAGGAGAGATTCCTTCCTTCCTTCCTTCCCACAAAATCAACACCTTTCAAAGGAGGCTCATCACCATCACAAGGCTTTTGGTCGCACGCTGAGGAGCAGATGCTGCTCCCTCCAACTCACAGTGTGGGGAAGGAGCTTGGCTCTGGAGAGTGCAAAAATAGAGCAGGGCTGAAGGTGCTTTCATTTGTGGGCTCCCGCATCCCCCCGGATGTGAGAGAACCTGGGAATGTGCACACACCTGTGGGTACCTGTGCCAGAGGGTTTTTTGTGGAGCCCATCAGAAGGTTTGGCCTTGGATCAGGGAGCAGCAAGGACCACTCAGCCACATGCCAGCTGCCCTCCAGCCTGCCCTGGCGTTCCTGAGGGCACAGGAGGCCAGCCCAGCCTGGATTCCCCCCAAACAATCCCAATTTGTTGGTGTTTTCCTCCGTTTGGCTTCAAGGCAGAGAAGAACCAGCTCGGAAAGTCATGGCCACACGTAGGGATGTGAGGGACACTGTGACACTGTGTGAGTGCTGCCCTGCTGCAGGACAGCTCTGGGCTCTCCTGGCACTGAAGCACCACCAGCACCACAGCCAGGGACAGCAGCTGCTGGGGATGGAAACATCTGGAGCAAGAGGACAAGTGTTGGTGAAGGGTGGTGCCTTCAGCAGGGACCTGAAGGGCTGTGAGTCACTGATTGTACCCAAACAGGGAAACTCTGCTCAGCTCTCAACCCAGATCCTTGTGCAGACCCGAGGAGATTGTCTGGAGTTACCACAGAGTATCCTGAGCTGGAAGGGGCCCACCAGCATCTTCAAAGTTCAGCTCCTGCCCCTGCCCAGGACACCCCAACAATCACCCTGTGCCTCACCCTGCAGTGAAAAGCTCGTGAATTTTCCTCTCCAGGGCACTCAGAGGGTTCATGGGTGTGATCATGCATTTCATTTCCGTTTTTAACTTCTGGCTGTGTTACTCAACTTCTGCAGAGTTCAAGAGCCCCAGGTCTCCATCCTCTTCCTCCCTAGGCTGTGCAGCTTTCCCAGGGCTTTGCCTAGCTGGGGTAAATGTGGACATCCTTCATGAGAGCAGTGCAAACAGGAAAAGGAGGCATTAAACACAGGTTACCACCATGATTGGGACTGATCCCTGGATTCCTGGGTGAGGAATGTGTCCTCCAGGAAGGCTGAGTTTCCATGTGGGCATAATCCAGTGGGAAAAATGGATGTTCAGGACTTGAGCTGCTGAAGGGGAGGTGTTTGAGACTTGTTTGGGTTTTGGGCACAGCAGTGTCCAGACTCAGGTCATCCCTGGATGGTTCTCAGCCATGCTGAGGGACATCAGCTGGGTTTTGTCTCCTCAGTGATTTCCATGTGCTGGCTGGTGCTGGTGGCCATGGAGTGCCATTCCTGCCACCTCTGGTCCCTGCTGCCCGTTTTATTTGGGGATGGCACCTGCAGAGCCCCAGCTGGGGCTGCTTGGAGGTGGGGATGTGCTCCACTCCATCCAGCCATGCTTGGATCAGTGCAACATTCACACTGGCTTGAGCAATTAGTTAATGAACCAGCACAAATGCAGTTGCCACGCCAACCCAAAGCCAAACGTGTCCGTCTGGGAGATGCAGCCTGACAGCTTTTTAGGAGAAGTGGGACTCCAGCAAACCTCACCGTGGATTTCTGTGATCCAGCTCTCCAGAGCTGCCCAGGGATTTGGGATCCTCACAGGATGTGTGAGGAGAGTGAAAAGCTCATGGTTGGGATCAACTCCTGCCCATCCGTAATGCAGCTCCATCCTCCTGTGCCACATCAGGCCACAGGTGAGGTCCTGGGATGTGGCAGTGAAGGAACATTTCTGAGCAGCAGGAATTTCCAGGAGGGAAGGGTCCATCTCTTGGGGCATCCCAAAAAAGGATCCATCTCTTGGGGAGCCCCAAAAGGGTCCCATCTCTTGGGGACACAGCTTTGTTGTCATGGCAGGGATGCTCCCTCCTTTCCCAGCTCCAGTGGGGCACATGGGCCTGGCTCTGTCCCTGGCCAAGGCAGGCCTGGGGGAAGGCCAGGGTATAAATAACGTGGGATAAGCCTCTTGGAAGGATGGATGGGCTCAAGTCCTACTAGGCCAGCGTGTCACCTGCTTGGCAATGAAAGCAGGGGTCACATCCCTGCCATGTGTCACCCAGAGAACGAGCCTGGCTGCAGGTGCTGGGCTGGGTGACATGACCCTGCCTGCTGGCACTTTTAGGGCCACACTGCCCCAGAAGTTCTGCATTCAGCCCTGTCCTTAGGCTCTGGTGCTGGAGGAGGATCCAGAGCTGTCTGTGTCCCCTGTTCTTGGAAGAAATTGTCATTAAAATTCTTGCAGCCTGAAGGAAACAGATGTGATGTGGTGGGTCCAGACAAGCCAAGGGTTGGAGACATTGAGATGCTCATACAGATTTTTTTTTTCCCCTGAAACCTGATTTTAACTCCAAGATGAAAAACTTGGCTGTGAGCATCCAACTGATGTTAGATCCTAAAAACTCTGTCTGGCCAGAAGATTGAAGACATGGACAGCAACATCTGGCCTGCTGATGTGGAATGGGAGAGCACCACTTCTGAGAGGAGACTGGGCCTGACTGGAGGACCTTGGGACCCCAGCACCTCCCATTTCCCCTGGGAGTCCAGAGCCCTCTGCCCTGAGCTGGGGTTTCATGGCTGCTGCAGGGACTCCTGGGAGGGGATGTTCAGGGCCACATCTCCCTAAATGTGACACCAGTGTCCAGCTTGTGCTCGAGCTTGTGCCCTTTGGCAGGACCCTGGAGCTCTTTGGAGGATGCTCTGTGCCTCTTTCCTGACTCTGCCTGGGCTCTGAGCTGGCTCTGGCAGTGGAAGAGCCAAAATTTGGAGTCAGATCTGACCCATGGTCAGGGCAGGAGAGGACATCGATGTAGGGAATTGCTGTGCCTGGGGATCGGGGATTTAGGGGTTGACACCCTAAACCTACAAAGCTCAGAGAAATTCCCCTTTGAAGTGCCCAGTTCCTGCTCTGAGAGGCCCATCTTGGTTCCAGGGGGACTGGGGATGTGACAGCACTTCTTGCAGCCAGGCAGATGCTCCCCCCCTCAAGCATCCTCCATCCAGCCCAACCCATCCCTGTGCAGGAGGAACACAGTGTTCCCACACAGCCACAGTGTCCCCTGCAGCTGCTGTCACAGCAAGGACACACTCGGGGGGGGGGCTGAGGCAGCAATTTGGGAGCCCTTTTTGGGATCCCATGCCCTTGGGCCCACTTTCTCCATGGGAACACCTTCCCAGCCCTTCCTGCCTTCCTTCCTTCCTGGAATCCTTCCTTCCTTCCTGATTTTCATTGCAGGGGCAGGAATTCTTCCTGGCTGCTTTCTGCTGACCCCTTCCATGGTGCTCCACCATGGCCCCCTGTGCTTTACTGGGGTGGAGGTTGTGGGGTGGGATGGACCCTGTGGGATGAGATGAAGCTGAGATGGGATGATGATGATGATGCTGGAGCCCATGGGATGGGATGATGGAATCTATGGGATGGATGAAGCTGGGATGGGATGATGATGATGTTGGAGCCCATGGGATGGGATGAATCTGGGATGGGATGATGATGCTGGAGCCCATGGGATGGGATGAATCTGGGATGGGATGATGATGCTGGAGCTGTGGGATGGGATGAATCTGGGATGGGATGATGATGCTGGAGCCCATGGGATGGGATGGATCTGGGATGGGATGATGATGATGCTGGAGCCCTGGTGCTGCCCTGCAAGCAGCACTGCTGTTGCTGGATCCTGGCTCCGGGGCAGGAGCCAAGTGTGAGTAATGGCAGGAGGAGCAGGGCTGTGCTGGCATCGCTCCTGCCCTGCTGTGCCCCGTGCCAGGGGGAGCAGGGAGCAGCACTGGGGTGCCCAGGCAGCTCTCACTGCCAGCTCCTGCCCACAGGGGACAGTTCCTGGTGCATTTGGTGGATGCAGGTGGGCAGCATGCCTGGGCACAGGCAGCAGCTTTGCCCAGTTCAGGTACCCAGGTATCTTCCAGCCCCTCTTTCCCAGCCTGGAGCTGCTCTGTGCCCCCTCTCCCCATGGGGAGGCCAAAGGATGTGACCAAGGCCAAGGCCAGTGTCCTTTGGGGCTCCCTGCAGGCAGATTTAGCTGGGAAAGGTGGTGGATGTGCAGTGGTAGGAATGGCATTGAGGATTGGCTGTTTTGCAGACACTGACACTCAGAGGCTCCTGTTTTCTCCCTGCTGGCACCTGTGTCAGCTCTGGACCCTGCTGGGCTTTACCCACGGAATCAGCACCCTTGGGGTGACCCACAGGGAAGGCTCCCAAGGCTGGGGCTGGCAGGGTGACATCCTCACACCTGTTTTTTAATTTAGAGACCGTCCTTAACTGGCTTTTTATTGGGCATTTCCATCCCTGTCCCTGGGACTGGGGACTCAAAAAACCCCACAGGGATAAAATCCAGGGGAAAATGCTGTGTGAGGGCAGGGCACAGACTCCTTTCCTCAGGCTCAGATCTGTGAGGGATGTGGTTCACACACCAGAGTGAAAAGGTTTGGGAGGCACCTTGTTCCCCCCCAAAACAGATTTTGGGCAGCACTGGCAGGAGGGCAAGGCTTGAACACCCCTTCCTGCAACCCAACCCCAAAGCTTGTCCCACTGCCACTTCCTCATGTCCCTGAGCTGCATCTCTCAGGGAGCTGGCCTGGGGCAGGAGCAGGGGAATTTGGGGTGTTCCTGGGGTCCCAGGGGTGCTGCTGTCCTGCCTGGTTGCATAAGCCTGGCAGCCACGGGAGGTGAAATGGGATTGTGAGGGATTACAAGGAACAGGCTCAGGCCGCTTGATTCTTGTTTCTAAAAGGAGCTCTTAAGCTGCTGTTGTTTTCCCAGCACTTGGGATTAGGACTGAACCTCGTGGGGCGGCCCCCAGGCTCCCCAGAGGGACCCCCCAACCAGCACATGCTCCACACCAGCCTGGGGTCTGTCTGGTGCCAAGCATGAGAGAAAAACGGGGCTGGGGTGTGACCACCCCTCCCTGGGTACCCCAAAACCACCCCCATCCCCTCCTTCATCCCCAGTTAAGGCACAGGGTGAGTGGGGCTCAGTGTGACCGTGCACATGGGTGGGGGTTTGGTGCCCCCAGTGCAGCCCCTGCTGCTGCCAGCAGGCTCTGGGGTGCTGTAGGAGGGAAACTGGGGTCTCACCATTGCCCATATCCCCTTTCTTGCAGAGATCATGCACGATGTGATCCGGAAAGTGAAGAAGAAGGGGGAATGGAAGGTGAGCACCAAAGCCAGGGAGGGGCCAGGAGGGGAGGAAGCAGGGAAGGGGGCAGGTGTGGGCAGGGTGGGGAAGGTCCTGCCGTGCCCCCAGCTCACAGGATGCTCACAGGGAGCTCGTGGGGTGCTCACAGGGTGCTCATGGGGTGCTCACCTGTCCCCAGGTGCTGGTGGTGGACCAGCTGAGCATGCGCATGCTCTCGTCCTGCTGCAAGATGACCGACATCATGACAGAGGGCATAACCAGTGAGTACCCCCTGCCTGCCTCCCACATGGCCTGTGGGAAGGGCCAGATCTCCCTCTGCACCAGGACACCTGCAAAGGCATCTCCAGGCTGGCACAGGGTGCTTGGCACAGCCCCCACCCAGCCCTATCCCATTTGGGATGGAGCCCATGGACAGCTCCTGGTGCCAGGCTGGACTTCCACAGGTCCCTCCTTGCCTGAGAACATCTTGTCTCCTGGCAGCTCTTCAGTTCCAGGAGGGGACCAGGTGTTGGTTTTTTATCAGCCTAATAATTAAATAGCTCCCTGCAACGCTTGGAAAGGAGGAGGAAATGCCAGGCTGGATACTGGGAGGTGTTGGGGATAGTGGGGTTTGTCTGGGTGCAGCCAGAGCTTCATCCTCAGGTGAAGGGGGATGTGAGGATAAACCAAGGAGCACAGACAGATCCATGGCCCCTGGGACCTGGCCAGGTGCCCACACCCACAGTTCCAGCAGGGACCATGGGGCTGGGATGGGGTGGGCAGGGATGGATGCCTGGGGGTGTTTTGGATGTGAAGAGGCTGCCATGGGGTATCCAGCCACCCTGTGTGGCTCAGTGCCCTGCCCACAGCCCTCCCTGCCATGATCCCTGTTTTTCCCCCAAGTTGTGGAAGACATCAACAAGCGCCGGGAGCCTCTGCCCAGCCTGGAGGCCGTGTATCTCATCACCCCCTCCGAGAAGGTGAGTGCAGGGTGGGACACAGGCACAGGGCCTCTGGCCTGGGTGAGCTGCTGGGATGGGCAGCTGTGCCCATGGGAAGCATCCTGGCTCCAGCGAGGTGCCAGCAGGGGGATGGGATGGAGGTGCAGAGCTTGCCCTGAGCCAGGAGGGAGGCCCACAGTGCCATCCTGCCCAGCCCAGCTGCTCCTCTCCCTTCCAGTCCATCCACTCCCTCATCAACGACTTCAAGGATCCCCCCACCTCCAAGTACAGAGCTGCCCACGTCTTCTTCACTGACTGTGAGTGCCCAGAGGGGAGGGACAGGCACTGAAACGGTGCCAGCAGGTGGGGAGGGATGAGGGATGGAGGGATGCTGAGCACCCCTCTCCTCTCCTCCTCCCCTTGCAGCCTGTCCTGACGCCCTCTTCAACGAGCTGGTGAAATCCCGAGCTGCCAAGGTCATCAAGACCCTGACAGAGATCAACATTGCCTTCCTCCCTTCCGAGTCCCAGGTGAGCCTGGGCTGGGGTGGGACAGGCTGTGGGACAGCCAGGGGCTGCTCCAGGTCCCTCTCCAGCCCAGCAGGGTTTGTGTAACAGCCTTGCAGTCCCAGCTGGCTCCTTGCTCTGCCTCCCTGTCTCCTTAGATGACTTCTTGGGCTGATCCCACAGAGGATTTGTGGGTGCAGTGCCTTGGCCCTGTGCCCACAGCTGTGCTGGCCAGCTCTGCCACCAGCCAAGAGCACCAGGGAGCTGGCCCTGGGCCATCTGCCCCTGCTGGGGACAAAGGGACCTGGGGGCAGAAGTGCGGGACCTGCTCGGTGCCATTAACCCTTCAATCCTCAGCATTCCTAGGGAGTGGCCTCTTGGCATCTTCATGTGGTTTTCACTGGGGGCACAGCTGGGGAGCAGTGTGTTTCTGCTTGTCCCCAGTCTCTGTTTCCCTGCCTGGGAGCAGGTGACTGCTGAGGGCAGGGGTCTTCTGCCTCCTCTGCTCAGCTGGGAGGGACACATGGATAAGGATCCTACCATGGGATCCTCCTGGGAGTTGGAAGTTCTGAGGGATGCCCTGAGCATCACTGAGCTCCAGCTGCTTGGTCCCAGGCTCAGCTGGGTCCCTCTGGGGATGAACGTGGTTTCCAAACCCAGCTGGGGCAGGGCTGCTCTCTGCAGACATCCTCTCTGACCTCCCCTCCTCTGCACCCCCAGGTTTATTCTCTGGATTCAGCCGACTCCTTCCAAAGCTTTTACAGCCCACACAAGGCCCAGATGAAGAACCCGATCCTGGAGCGCCTGGCAGAGCAGATTGCCACGCTCTGTGCCACCCTGAAGGAGTACCCGGCCGTGCGGTACCGCGGGTGAGTGTGGGCATCTCAGGGGCCTGGGTGTGTGGACAGACATCCATGCTCCGTGTAAACAGGCTCACACTTGGTGATCTGGGGAGCTGAGAGGGTTGGGATCCTGAAATCTTAAGTGGCACCGAGGCAAAGTGGAGCTCGTTGAGGAGAGGTGGGAATGGGCAACAAAAGCTGCTCGGGTCCTTGCTCTCCATGGGCCAAGGATGTTGCACAGGGAAGCCAACATCTCCTCCCCATGCCACCCCTGTGGGGCTGACCTGTCCCCCTGCCTCCCACAGGGATTACAAGGACAATGCCATGCTGGCACAGCTCATCCAGGACAAGCTGGACGCCTACAAGGCTGATGACCCCACCATGGGCGAGGTGAGCTCTGATGGCAGCCCTGGGGAGGGGCTCCTAAAGTCCTGCTCCAACTCTGCCCTGTGGCAGCCACGGACCGTGGGTGGGGAGCCCAGCACAGCCCCCTGGGCTCTGTGGGGCTGAGGGAGCCCCATCCCAGAGCTGATGGCCCTGCTGTGTCCACAGGGTCCGGACAAGGCTCGCTCCCAGCTCCTCATCCTGGACCGTGGCTTTGACCCTGCATCCCCAGTGCTGCACGAGCTCACCTTCCAGGCCATGAGCTACGACCTGCTGCCCATCGAGAACGATGTCTACAAGTGAGTGCAGTGCTGCCATCCCTCTGTGACACCCTGAGACCAGTCCTAGAGCTGCAGCTGGGAGCTCAGCATCCCTCCATCCATCACCAATCCTCCCCTGGGTGACAGCAGTGCTGCACTCCGGCAGGACTGGTGGGCAGGACTGGCACAAAAAGGGCTTGTCCAGCCCTCAGCCTTTTCCCAGCATTTAGGAGTTGAAGGGTGCAAGAAAGGAAGAGATCAATCCCTGCTGAAATCACTTTGCACAGCCAAGAAGAGCCCTCATGTCCCCTCATGTAAGAGCCGAAATGGGGGATGCCAGACTTTAGGTGGCTCTTTAAAATGTTTATTGTAACCTTTGAAATGTTTATTGTATCCAGAGGATACAGCAATTCACTGGTCATGGGTAACAAGAGCCCAGCCCACAGCCTTTTCAGCCACAGCTGAAGACAACTCTAGTTCAAAGCATCTTCAAACATAACAACCAATCAATACTTTTACTATAACCTATAGCCTATCCTAACTACTAACATTACCATATTCATGGTACTATTTTCCAATCACAAAAAATTAGTATGTTACAGTTTAAGCTAGAAGTTGTTTTTCAGTTTTCTTGCAGTGGAAAATTTTGAGATCTTTCTTTCTACTTGTAACATGGCATTTTTGTTTGCCTGGGAAAAGCTTCTTGCTTGGTAAAAATATCTATTGTTTGAGGTGGATTTATCCTTTGCTCTGAGTCATAAAAACCCCTTCCAACTCATTTTACCCTTTGGCTTCTTAGTTATCCAGTCAGACGGGCTCAGCAATTCTTTTCTTCTATATCAAAACTTGCTGTCATTTCTATTCCTTCTTCAGATTTTACATCCAAAGATCTTTCTGTTATACACACATATCTGTGACACCTTGCTGTCAAATCCTTATCCTTCCCAACACCCCCACCTCCCTAAAGCCAGTCTGTGTGTGCCTTGAGCCTCATCCCCTTTGTGACATCCTGACATCCCTCCCCTCCTCCCAGGTACGAGACCAGTGGCATTGGTGAGGCCCGGATCAAGGAGGTTCTCCTGGATGAGGATGATGACCTGTGGGTCACCCTGCGCCACAAGCACATCGCCGAGGTGTCCCAGTGAGTGCCCCGGGGCTGCTTTGCTGCCTGGGTGGGACACTGGCTTGGCATTGCCACCCACCCTGCTGTGAGGGTCCCCTCCCCACTCACAGCTCTGCCCTGCTCCTCTCTCCAGGGAGGTGACCCGGTCCCTGAAGGAGTTTTCTTCCAGCAAGAGGATGAACACGGGTGACAAGGTGACCTGATGCATCCAGCGAGTGTGGGCTGGCACATGGTGGGGTCTCCTGGGGACATTTTGGCAAGGAAGAAGGGTGGTCATGTTCCTGGCAGGGTGACATGGCTGTGGGGTGCCATGGAAAACGGGGTGCTTTGGGAGAGCTCTGCACCCAGGGGTCAGTTTGCCCCCAGTTTGACCCCAGGGTCTGTGCACCTCCCACAGCAGCTGCTCTGTCCCCACTCCCTGAGTTGGTGGCAGTGAGGGGACCCTGGTGGCAGTAGAATGTAAAAGTGGCCAGGAGCTGAAAGGACCATCTGAGCCCCAGCCAGGCACACGAGGCTCCCAGAGGGAGATCCTCAGGGGATTTCTCCCCACTGCACCCCAGTTTGCAGAGCTGCAGATCCCTCCTGCCTCTCAGCTTCAGGGCAGGAGACCTAGCAGTGACACCTCAGATGTCACCAGACCCCCACAGGGGGCTCACATGGGGACAGATGTCCTTGGCAGGGTCACCCCCTCTCTGCTTGTGGCCCCCAGGTCCCTGAGGGTGAGTGACCATGTCCCCTTCCCTCACAGACCACCATGAGGGACCTGTCCCAGATGCTGAAGAAGATGCCACAGTACCAGAAGGAGCTCAGCAAGGTATGGGGAGGGGGCTTTGTGTGTTCAGTGACTGAGCCCACCCCACTCAATGGGGAGCAGGAGGTGGCAGCTGTCCCCTGGCCATGGGTGGTGGCACAGGGACCCTCAGCTGCTGCCAGCACTGTGAGGTGACAACTCTTGTGTCCCCAGTACTCGACCCACCTGCACCTGGCTGAGGACTGCATGAAGCATTACCAGGGCACTGTGGACAAGCTCTGCCGAGTTGAACAGGTACCAAACATTCCCCCAGCCCCACATTCCCACAGGAACACTGGGGGCTGCAGCTCCACCCTCCCGGGATGCAGTGGTGATGAGCACGTGCTCCCTACAGGACCTGGCCATGGGCACTGATGCTGAAGGAGAGAAGATCAAGGACCCCATGAGGGCCATTGTCCCCATCCTGCTGGATGGCAATGTCAGCACCTATGACAAGATCCGCATCATCTTGCTCTACATCTTCCTGAAGAACGGTGAGGACGCCTGGGCAGGGCTGTGGGCAGGGCAGGCACATCTGGGTCTGGCCAGGATGGTTGGGAAAACCTTCCTGAGCAGGCTGAGTGTCCTAAGGTGGCAGCAGAGGGGCCGTGTCCTCTTGGTCAGACATTGCAACACCCCGTCCCCGTGTCACTGGCAGGAATCACCGAGGAGAACCTGAACAAGCTGATCCAGCACGCCCAGATCCCGGCAGAGGACAGCGAGATCATCACCAACATGGCCCACCTCGGGGTGCCCATCATCACAGACGTGAGTGTCCTCCTCCCTGTGCCCCTGCCCCCGTGCTCTGGCAGCTCTGTGCCCCCGGGCTGGCCTAGGGGGTGTCCCTGGTGCTGCCCAGGTGGCTCAGGGTGTCCCTGTGTCCCCCAGTCCACGCTGCGCCGCCGGAGCAAGCCTGAACGCAAGGAGCGCATCAGCGAGCAGACCTACCAGCTGTCCCGGTGGACACCGGTGATCAAGGACATCATGGAGGTGAGCCAGCCACCAGGACAGGGCTGGGGGCAGAGCAGGGAATTCCAGAGCCACCCAGGAAGGGACCTGCAGGATGCTCCCAGCCCAAAGCTGGACACCTCTCTGAACACGTGTCCTCCAGGCTGCTCCCTGCCTGGGATTGCAGCAGGGCTGGGATATTTTGGGAGGATTTCCTGGCCTCCATGAGTGTGCTGGCCCCAGGTAGGATGCACAGAATCACAGAATGTGCTGAGTTGGAAGGGACCCACCAGGATCACCCAGGGCAGCCCCTGTCCCTGCCCAGACCCCCCAACAATCCCAGCCTGTCCATCCCTGGCAGCGCTGTCCAAACGCTCCTGGAGCTCTGGCAGCCTCGGGGCCGTGCCCATTCCCTGGGGAGCCTGGGCAGTGCCCAGCACCCTCTGGGGGAAGAACCTTGCCCTGAGCTCCAGCCTGAGCCTGCCCTGGCCCAGCTCCAGCCGTTCCCTGGCTCCTGTCCCTGTCCCAGAGGGCAGGGATCCCTCATGAGGAAGCTTTAGACTGCAGTGAGGTCTCCCCTCAGTCTTCACAGCCCAAACCAGGTTTGCTCAGCATCCCTGGAATACAAATGCAGCAACAACTTGGCTGGCTGTGTGTGTGCCACCAAGGCTGGGTGGCCTTGTCACAGCCTTGCCCGTGTCCTAGCAGAGCCAGGGGACAGACATGGCTCTCTACAGCTGTGTCTGTGTCCTCAGGAGCTGTTCTAGGAGCTCTGCGCTGGGATAGCCCTTGGCAGTTCAGTGCTGCCTCTGCCCTCAGACCAGCAGAGCTGGTCCCAAAAGCACAGAGCTCATATTTTCCTTTGTCACAACCCGCCCTGGGGTGGCTGCACCCCCAGGACAGAGAGGCGTGCCCAGGGCAGCAGCAGCACCTCAGCAAGGTCTCCCAGGTGGCACTGGCCTCTGCCACTGCTGAAGCAGCAGCGTGTCCCTGGTGCTGGAGATCCCAGGGCTGAAAATTCCAGCTCAGTGCCTGCTCCTGAGCTATTCAGGAGGGCAATGCTGGGCACAGCCCTCCCGAGGGGTTGTGGGGCCAGGGGCTGTGCCTGGCTCCTGGCTGACCCCGTGGCTCTCTGTCCTCAGGATGCCATCGATGACAAGCTGGACACCAAGCACTACCCGTACATCTCCACCCGCTCCTCTGCCTCCTTCAGCACCACTGCAGTCAGGTGTGTGCCCTCCTCCCTGTCCCCCCCAGCTGCACCAGCATCCACCCCAGCCCCAGCCCCAGGGCTGGATCCAGCAGCAGTCTGGGAGCTTCTCTGAGAGCATTCAGGCATCCCCGTGCCTCAGTTTCCCCTCAAGCACTTAATGTCTCTGTTCCCTCGAGGCACCCCGAGTCTCAGTTTCCCTCCAGACAGCCTGTGCCTCTCTCTCCCTTCAGGAATCCCTTGTCTCAGTTTCCTTCAGGCATCCTGTGCCTCAGTTTCCTTTCAGGCACCCTGTATCTCCGATTTTCTTTGGGCATCCTGTGCTCAAGTTTCCCTATGGATATCCTGGATCTCCATTTCCCTTTATGAATCCCGTGCTTTCATTTCCCTTCAGGCATCCTATTCCTCAGTTTCCCTTGAGGTATCCCATGCCTCAGTTTCCCTCCAGGCATCCTGTGCCTCCGTTTCGCTTTAGGAATCCCATGCCTCAGTTTCCCTTTAGGCACCCTATGCCTCACCTTTCCTTCATGCATCCCATACCTCCGTTTCCCCTATGGCATCCCGTGCCTCAGTTTCCCTCCAGGCATCCTGTGCTTCTGCTCCCCTGTAGGAATCCCATTCCTCAGTTTCCCTGTAGGAATCCCATTCTTCAGTTCCCCTGTAGGAATCCCATTCCTCAGTTTCCTTGTAGGAATCCCATCCCATTCCTCATTTTCCCTTTGGACACTTGGTGCCTCAGAGTCCCTCCAGGCATCCCGTGCCTCAGTTTCCCTCCTCTAACAGCTGCTCGTGGCTGGAGCACTGGGCTTGAGCTGCTGTAGCAGCAACGTCCGTGTGATTTAATTGAGATGTGGTGCCTCGTGCCCGTCCTTCACCCTCCTCTTCCTCTCCTCAGTGCCCGCTACGGCCACTGGCACAAGAACAAGGCCCCGGGCGAGTACCGGAGCGGGCCCCGCCTCATCATCTTCATCCTGGGCGGGGTGAGCATGAACGAGATGCGCTGCGCCTACGAGGTGACACAAGCCAGCGGCAAGTGGGAGGTGCTAATAGGTGAGTGGTGGCCCCGGGGCTGGCCCCTCCCGCTGGCTGCTCATCCCACGCTCCATCCGCAAATTCCCGGCTCCAGACCACGGCGGGAGCTGGAACTCTGCGGGAAGGTTTTCTCCGGACATCTGTTGTCGCCCCTGTGTGTCACCCCCACCTTCCCCATCTGGGTTGTGTCACTCCAAACATCCTCATTTCTGCTTCCATTTTTTCACGTCTCCTGGCTGGTTTTGTCCGAGCAGGGCTGGGTGAGAGGGGAGGAGGGCTGGCAGCTCGGATTGCTCCTCGGTTTTGGGGTCATCTAATGAAGGAAAGTGCAAAATAAATAGCGGTGCAAACACGAGCCAGGTTTTTCAGTTGCACGGGACATGGTCAGGGTCAGCTCCCATCTCTGCTCCCAGGGGAGCTGTGAGCCTGGCACAGAGGACACCTTGGAAGCTCTACCAGGTGTTAGCAATGAGCTGTAAGATCCCTAAAATTCCTCTGGGAAGCACAGCTTGGATACACTCGTTGTAGGGCACAGGCAGGTTTCCTTCACCATCTCATCTGATGCCCTGGGTGCCTGGTGGAGCCTGTCCCCAGCATCTCTTCTGCTCCTTGGGAGCAGCATGCCAGGCTCCATCACCTCGTGCTGCCCCAGCTGTGTCCCTGTCACGGACACCCATCCCAGCTCCACGCTGCCTGTCCCCCATCTCATCCTGCCTCTCTGCAGGCTCCATCCCCTGCATGCGCCTCCCAGGCTCTGGGCTCCGCCTGCCTCCTTCCTCTTCCTCTTCCTCCCCCCAGAAGCAGCTGCTGTGGTGGTGGTGGCGTGGGGGAGCCTTGGCACGGCCATCAGCCCCGCTCTGTTCTCCTGCAGGTTCTACTCACATTCTCACTCCCACCAAATTTCTCATGGACCTGAGGCACCCCGACTTCAGGGACTCCACTAGGGTATCATTTGAGGATCAGGCTCCAGCAATGGAGTGAGCCAAAGAAACCAAGTAAAGGCAGCTTACTAATGAAAAAGAAACTCTTCCTCCCCGAAGGGTTTTCTTTGATTCTTCTGTTCCTCCTTTTTTTAATCATTGTTTTGGGGTTTGTCGGGTTCTCCGATTAGAAAATGCTTGCGGTTCCTCCGAGCAGGTGGAAAAGCATCCAGTCATTCCTCAGCCATGTCCCCTGGCCAGCTCCTTCATGCCATGAGTTCCCCCTGGCCAGGGCTGCCGGGGTCTGGGTCCTGCCTGCCCCACAGAGGTGTCCCAGGGCCGGGCAGGGGCACGGAGCTCCTGGATCCTGCCCTGGGAGCAGCTGAGTGGGGCTGGGGCAGAGGGGCAGCAGTGGAGACCCCAGCCCTCATCCTGGTCCATCCTCACTGGGCACTGCTGGGACCCCCCCCAGCTCTGGGGCTGGAATCCCACTCAGCTCAGGTTTGCTCTTGGATAGGCAGGAGCCTCCCGACATTGCAGACCCCCAAACCCTGGGGTTCAGCTCCTGCTGCTTTCACCAGTGAGTGCCAGCCTGGCATTCCCCGTGTGCTGGTCTCTGCAGTGCCAGTGTGGGCAGCATGGTGGGACCCCCGAGTGAGGGGCAGCAGAAGACAAGAGCCTCTTTTCCCTTGTCCCTCCCACCCCTTCCAGCCACCTCTGTGTCCCCAGGATGCTCCGTGCAGGCTGGACCTGGGGCAGGTCCTTCCCTGCCATCTGTCACCCCTGTACCCCACCAGTTCCTCCTGTATCCCCCGTGGGTGCTGCAGTGACCCCAGTGCCACAACCCGCCCCCTGCACCGGCACCTCCCAGCCCCCTCCTCATCCTTCCAGCTCCATCCCCCACCTCCATTCCTCCTCCTCCTCCTCCTCCGTCCTTCTCCCGTTCTTCTGCCCCCACAACCTTCCCCCCGTCCCCATAGACTGCATTTCCCCGCAAGCATTTCCAGCGGGCGGGGCCGGCGCCGCCAGGTAAGGGGGACCCAGGACAGCGGGGACGGGGCTGGGACACAGCAGGACATCCCAAAGCCTTCACTGATCCCCTTGCACCCCTTCTCCTCTGCTCCCACAGGGTCCACGCACATCCTCACCCCACAGAAACTGCTGGACACGCTGAAGAAACTCAATAAAACAGAGGAAGAGAGCAGCAGTTAAAAGGAAACGCTGTCACCACTCGATGCCGACCCACGTCCCCGCCGGGCGCCCGGCCCCGGGTGCCACCCTGCACCCAGTGGGCTCAGCTTCTCTCTTGTTCTTGTGTTGACCCCCCCCTCTCCCCTCCCAGCGCCTCCCCCATCTCATTTTATCCACAGGGAGGGGATAACAGCCAAAAAAAAAAATAATATATATATATATATATATATTAAGAAAATGGATGCATTGTGTTTAAGAGAAAAAGGAAAAAAAAATCTATATATTTGTAGCTGCAGCTGTGGGAAGCGCCCAGGAGCTCATTGCTGAGTAACCATCTGCCCATTGCTAGTGAATCTGGTGGGGAAAATGGCAGAAAACCACATTTTTTTGGGGAATGCTCCTCACTGGGGTGTTGTGTGGATGGGAGGACAGATGGACGGACACCCCACACCGCTCCAGCCTGCTCAGGGGGGCACCACCATCTGTCCCATGGCTTTTGGGGTGGTGGGTGCCCCTGCCAGATGTGCACGCCAGCATCTGGATGGGAATTTGGGATGGGGGTGGTGTGGGGGTGCAGCCAGTGGTAATTCCCATGTGAAAAGGGACCAAACCGGTCAGAACTGGGAGCTGGGGCCCGCCCGCTTGCACGGCCTTGCTGCAGCCCCGCCTCTCTCTGGGAATTCCTTCCAAAAAAAAAAAAATACATATATATATAAAATAAAAAGCTATTTTATATATATATCTATCAATCTGTGCTCTCTCCATGGATACCTCTCTCCATCCATCCCCACGGAAGCTCGGTGCCCGTGCCCAGCTCCGCTCGTGTCGTCCCGTGGTGAAGCGTTTCTGAGCGTGCCGTCACCCTGAACCCCCCAAAAAACCCTCTGGGCCCTCCCCAAAACCCTCTGGGCCCTCCCCAAAAACCCTCTGGGCCCTCCCCAAAAACCCTCTGGGGCCCCCCAAACCCTCCAGGCCCCCCAAACCCTCTGGACTCTGTGTATATTAATGACTGTGTCTTGTGACGTTCTTACGAGCTTGGTGTATAGTGATTTCCCCAAACCTCTGATTTTAGTTGGGTTTTTATTTGACACCCCTGGATTGCCCCCTTTCCCTTGCCATTAGATGCACTGCAATATTTTGGGGTCTATGGTTTTGTTCTCTTCCCCTTGAAGGCTGTGAGCCCCCTTTTCCTTCCCTGAAATTGCTCTTTCTTGCCTCGTTGGTGGTTAGCCCCCCCCTCTTTCCCTTCCCTTCCCGTCTGCTCCTTGCCCATAAAGTTAAATATATATTTTTAGGGCAAAGGCTGTATCATTGCACTGATATTTGTTGGTTCCCCCTCGGTCTCCCAGCCCGTTTCTGTTCCTTCTTGGTTTAGCAATGCAAATGCTTCAGGATCTTGTATGTTGGACATTATTATTATTATTATTATTTTTTCTGTTACAGTTATTTATATAAAAAATAATTTATCAAAAAGGAAAACTTTAAAAAAAAATAATCTAGTCTGTCTTGGAACTTGTTTACCTTGAAATTACTGGAATCTAAATGTTTGAAAGTGTTGAAGCACAAACATGTATCATCTCTGTATATCTGTTCTTCTGTACTAAAGCACTCGAGTGACTAAATAAAAGCGATCTCCATCCCTAGTGCAACTGGGGCTGTGCTGTGCTGCTCCCTCAGGGCCAGGAAAACAGGGAAAAGGCATGGGAAAAGATTCCATCCAACCCCAAGGGAGGCTCCTGGTGTGCCAAACCCCCCCTAGGAGTGGCTTTGGGAAGGAAAATCAGCACACGAGTCATCCAACCGCATTTATTTCCTTCAAAAATAGGTGATTTCTTCGTACAAAATACCACCCCAGTGGCTCTGCTGGGCGTTAAAAAATAGGGGATAAGGAAAAAACCCCATCATTTGGTCCTGGGTACTGCATTTGGGATAATTAACCACATTTTCCACACGCTCCCATCATGCCCTGGCTGGGCTGGGGGGGTCACAGCTTCCAGCTTGGGGCATGGGCATGAGCAGAGGCAACCAGAGACACATAAAACCTCTTTAAAATCCCCCAAACTTCTTTAAAATCTCCCAAACCAGCCGTCTCACCCAAAAAAAGGAGGAGGGGACAGCCCCATTCCCAACCCCTCTGGGCTCATGTTTAGGATCAGGCTCAGGGGGAGCTTGGAAGGCTCCAGACCTGAGTCACTCACTGATCCCCCCCTCCAAATGTGGATATTTGTACAACAAATAAAAGCAAAAATAAATACATTTGACACTGGCACTTCAGGTAGGTCCTACAGATAAACACAGGCTGAGGTGCTGGGGGTGGAGCTGGGGTTTGGCTGGAGCATCCCAGGAAAAGCTGCCCCAAGCACATCCTTTTCCCTAAAAAATAGGCATTCACTCCTTAGAAACCCAGCTGGGAGGAACAGGGGATCCACAGACCCTGCTTTGGTCTCAGCAGGTGACTTCTCTCTCAGCCCAGATTCCCTGACTATCTCAGGGGGAAAACCTCAAATCCTTCATTTCATTTTCTGCCTGGGATCCAGGGATAACCAGAAAAACCCCACAAATGCCCTAAAGGTTGTGCTGGAAATGCAAACCAGAATATTTCTATATATGTATCTGTAGAAAGATATATCTATAGAATCAGATACAGATCTGCACATACACAGATCTATTCATATCTGTCTCTCTAGATATAGATATATAACTAAATATAGATATGCCCATATCTAGATATATCCATTTATAGATACACATATATCACACACACATAACAGATCATCAACCAACACTCAAAAGAGTGATTCAGCTGCTTACTAGCTAAAAAATTCACATAAAAACACACAAAAAAAAAGTTTCCCCAGGGAGGATCCTGCTGGGTTCAAGTCCAAGGGCAGAGGGCACAGGGCACAGCCCCCTGGAGAGGGCTGGGAAAGGGGGGAGGAATAGGGAATCCCAGGGAATCCCAGGGAATCCCAGGGAATCCCAGGGATCTCTGCCCACACAGGCACAGAGGTAAACACAGCTGCCAAGGGGGCTCGACCCACACGGGGTCAGAGCATCCCCAGAAGTGCTCAGGGTGGGGTGGCACTGGCCTGGGGGACACAGGGCCACCCCCTTGGTGGCAGGGAATGATGCTGCGGAATGCTGGAGACTTCTGCCCTCCCCTTCCCCCCTCCTGCAGCTTGGGGGGGGGTGCTAAAAATGGACAGACAGACGGACAAAGCCATGCGGGAACCGCAGGGAGAGCGGGAAGGGGGCGGGGGCCAGGGCAGGACCTCCAGGAGACACCTCCAGCCCTGCTGCCCCAGATTTGGCAGGGAGCGCCCAGGGCAGGGATGCTGAGGGGCCCGTCCTCCTCTTCCTGCTGCTGCTCCTGGTGGCAGGGAGGGTTTGGGGCTGCCAGTGGCAGGGTTTGGGGAAGCCAGACGAGGGATTGGGGGTGCCAGTGGCAGGGTTTGGGGATGCCATAGGCAGGGTTTGGAAGTACCAGTGGCAGGGAGGGTTTAGAGGTGCCAGCAGGAGGGTTTGGAATTGCCATCAGGAGGGTTTGGAAGTGCCATCAGGAGGGTTTGGAGGTGCCATCAGGAGGGTTTGGAGGTGCCAGCGGGTCCCTCAGAAGAGGCAGGAGCCCCGTGGGCCCCGTGCCCGGCCCAGCTCTGCGGCCAGTGCCCGGCTCATGCGGCTCGTGGTCAGCCTCACGCTCTGGGCAGCCTCCACAGCCCGGCTCAGTGACCAGTTCAGCTCCTCCAGCTCCTCCAGGTCCAGGCTCAGGCAGGGGTGGTGGCCCTGGGGCCGGGGGGGACGCTCTGCCCGCCGGGACCCCGCAGTGACACCGAGGGGGACCCCGGCCAGGGCTGGGGCTGAGGTAGGAACTGCTGGGGAGCAGAAGCTGGGAAGGAGAAGGGACAGGGGCTCAGTGCTGCTCACTGGCTGTGCCTCCCCCAGGGCTCTGTGCCCCTACCCCTCCTTATTTCCATCCCTCTTCCCATCTCCTCCATGCCCACCCCCTCCCCACAGCCCACCCCCAGAGGAGCTGGTGGCCCTGTCACCCCATTGCCATGGGCACACCAGAGGATTCCTGGGGTGGATCCAGCCTCTCCTGGAATCCCCCTGCACCCCCTGGGTGTTGCTGACCCCCCTGAGCCCCCTCCCAGCCCCAGGGCATCCTTACAGCACGGAGGGCACGTAAGGCACAACGGGGACGGGTGCCAGGCAGACGGTGGCAGTGGTGGCAGCAGGGGTGGCTGCCAAGTACCAAATTCCGGGGTGCTCCGACTTCTCAGCTCCAGTGTGGGGACCTGGGGGACAGGAGCCACCAGGGCCACGCTCTGCTGCAGGGAGCAAGGTGGTTAGGTGTCCCCAGGGGGGTTAGGTGTCCCCAGGGGGGTTAGGTGTCCCCAGGGGTGCCCATCGAGTGGCAGCCCCAGGTGCCATCACCCCCTGTGCCACCCTGGGCAGCCACTGCTGGGTGGGAACAGTCCCCAGGCATTGTCAGGGGGCTGAGGTTGTTCCTTGTCCCACCACCCAGCCCCCAGGCAGGGAGGAGCAGTGCCAGGCACGTGTCACCCTTGTCACCCACCGTGCGTGGCTCTGTCCCTGCTGCCCGGCGCAGAGGGGCCCGTGGGTGCCCGGCAGGTGGGGCAGGACGGTCTCCTCGGGGTGCTGTGCTGGGGCTGCCGGGGGGCATCACCTCCCCCAGAGCCAGCTGTGGAGAGAGGAAATCGGGAATGTTCCCGGCAGAGCCAGCCAGGGATGTTTGAGAAGAGCTGAGTGGTTTGGGGGGGCTGATGAGATGGCGGGGGTGGTTCCCTGGAGGGAAAGGGGGGTCTGCAAAGGTGGGCTCTGCACTGGCACCTGGGACAGGGCTGGGGACAGGTGACACTGCTCCCAGTTACACCAGGAACCCCAGAGAATCCCAGGGAATCCCAGGAATTTCTGCACACACAGGCACAGATGCCAAGCGGGGCTTGACCTGTGCAGGACCCCCACGAGGTCAGGGCATCCCCAGAGCTGCCCAGGTTGCTCCCTTTAGGGGACAGTGGGAAGAGCCTCAGGCCATGAGGAAAGGGTTTGTTTGCTCCCTAAGCCTCTCCAGTTAATTAATTAAGGTCATTAGCAGCTGTTAGAGATGGCAAGGAAGGCTGGAAGGGGCTGGGGAGCCACTCACCTGATGCCGTCCTGTCCCTGTGACATCGGGGACACCCCGAGGTGCCCGGCTCTTCTCGGGGTGCCGGGGTGGCCCGTGGTGTCCCTGCCTCGTACCGCGTCCCTGCCAAAGCCCAGCGTGAGCGTGGCCAGCGTCCCCAAGCTGAGGGTGGCCGCCTTCATCCCCACCACCGACCGCCACCAGCACGTACCTGTGTACTGTCCCCGAAATGTCACCGCCCCCGGGGGCTGCCCAAGGCTCTTCCGCAGGGCCGGGGGAGCCCGGGGCCCGGCAGGGGCCGGCTCTGACTCGGAGGACAGGGAAGCGGGCTGGGATCCGCGGGGACCGAGCTCCAGACCTGCAGGACCCACGCTGGGCTGAGCACTGAGGGGTCCATGGGACCACCAGGACCTGGTCCCCACGGTCCTGCAGCCCCTGAACATCCCGCTGCCTTTGGGGAGAGCAAGTGGCGTGCAGGGAGGAGCGTGTCCCCTCTGTCCCCACCCCGGGGGGGGTCCCCACTTACCGAGGTCCAGCTCCTGCCTGTCCCGGGGCAGCGATGCCGACCTCTCCCTCCGTGGGGATGTGACCCCGGGGGCCACCCTGCCCCGCACCGCGGGGCTCGGGTCCCTGCAGAGGGGACAGAAACGCTGCCACCACCTCCACCCACCAGGCTGGCAGTCCCCTCCAGCCAAACTCCCCCCTGGTCACAGCAGAGCTGGGGACAGGCTGAGCATGGGGGTGTCCCCACGCTGCCCCCCACACCCTCCAGGCCCCCCTGCCACCTACCCCGAGGGTGCTGCGTCCTGAGGGGACAATGGTCCGCTGGTCACGGGCTGCCTCCTGCCCGGGGTGACACGGGGAGAGGCTTTTCCCTCGGGATAGCTGCGGGAGCGGCGCAGGCTCTCCTCCAGCCTCCGCCGCAGCCGCCACACCTCGTCCTGCAGCTCCCGGATGGCCTGGCTGCCCCAGGACAGATGTCACCGTGAGGGGGGGGCTGATGCCAGCAGGGACCCTCGCAGTGCTGGGTGCCCTGGGGGAGCACCAGCAACCCCCTCCCAGATCCCCCACACCGGCACCCAGCAGCTGTGACACCCCCCAAAACAAAGCCTGGGGCTGGGCTGGCATCCAGCGGCCAGTGGGTGCCTTTGGGGGGTCCCCGTGTCCCCCAGGGGGGTCTGGCCTGGTTTGGGGGGGTGGGGACACAGCCACTCACTCGCGCTCCAGACGGGAGCCCAGCAGGTCACAGTGAGCCGGGTCGAGGGACGGCAGGTCGGGGGACAGGAGGGTAGGGGACGGCGTGTCGGGGGATGGCAAGGGGCTGGTTGGGCTCCTGGCCATGGCTGGGGGGTGGCCACCGGCGCTGGCACAGCTCCTGTCTCCCACCTCCGAGTCCGTGTGAGCTGGGGAGGAGGGGGGCACAGCGATCAGAGAGCAGCCACGGGGACACAGCTCCCTCTGGGGAGGGTGACACCAGCACACCGGCGACACCAGCACCACAAGGAGCTCTGGGAAGCCCATAAACCAGAGCCACAGAGCCAGGGCTCCCCCAGATCTCTGTCCCTCGCCACGTCCTGTGTACTCACTGCCATCATCGGGGTCCGGCCCCACCTCGCTGCCCGCGCTCTCGGCCCAGCGAGGGGGGGAGCTGCTCTGGGAGGGGCTGCTGGGGGGCAGCCGGGGCCCCCCTGTGCCCCCCGGCGGGTAAATGCCCATCAGTGCTGTTTCGGAGGGAAGCGGGCTCGTCTCTCTCTTCCGTGGGGCACGGAGGGTGCTGGGGATGGCGATGGAAGGTCCCAGCGAGCCCGGAGTCCTGGGGAAGGGACGGGTCACCCCTGGCCAGGGGCACTCTGCACACATCCAGCCCCTCCAGAACCCTGCTCCCCACACCCTCAGCGCCTGTCCCGCAATCCCTGCTCCTCTTCAATCCTCCAAATCCCGCAGGCAGAGCCCAATTCCAGCCGGCAGGAGCAAGGCCGTACCCTGGGCCGGGGGGAAGGTGCTCGGGGGTGTGCACGGGAGGGGACACCCTGCTGGCCTCCGAGCCCACGAAGCCGCTGTCGGTCTCTGGGGACACGATGCGCTGCTCCTGCAGAGGCACCGAGAGAGCAGGATCGGTGCCCAGCACCCCGGGGGGCTCTGGGGTGCTCTCAGGTGGGGACCCACGGTCCTCACTCACCTTGTGGGTCCCGTGCTGGGTGGCAGTGCTGCCTGTCCCGCTGCTGCGGAGGGACAGGGGCACCCGGGGTGGCCCAGGGACCTCCTGCGGGGGCTTGGCAGAGGCTGGCGGCTCCTCAGCAGTGGCAGCGGAGGGGTGGCCCCGTGTCTCCCCCAGGTTTGGGGGTCCTCTGGGGGGAAGCGTCGCAGCTCTTCTCTGCGGGAGGTGCCTGTGGGGAGGGGATGGAGCAGGAATGATGGGGCAGAGCAATCTCAGACATGGGGAAATGTCCTGGTCCAGGTCTCCCATGGAGGCTGTTAACTCTGAGGTAAAACTGGAGACCTGATGTCAAAACTCCTGCTCACCCCTGCCTGGGTACTGGACCTCCCACAGCACTTACAGAGGCAAGGTCTCAAGGCTGGGCCGCTCCTCGAGTGACCGTGTCCTGCAGGGGACCCTGCTGGGACCACCGTCCCCCGCGGTGGGGGCATCCACCTCCTCCTGGGACCCGCTCTCCGCCAGGCTCAGCTGCTCCAGGCTCAGTGACTCCGGCAAGGACTTGAAGTGCTTGTACCTGGGGGGACCCGCGGGCAGGAGCGGGTGGGTTTGGGGACATGCTCCGTGTCCCCCCTGCTCCGCTGTGAGGGTACTCACTGCTCCAGCAGGTCCCCAAAATCCTCCTCCGCTCGGTGCTGCTTGTGCCAGAGGGGCCAGGGCAGCCCCTCTGCCACCCCCTCAGGGTCCCCTGCTGTCCCCCGGTGACTCTCCACCAGCGCAGGGCTCTGCGGGGACAGCGATGGGGTTGAGAGAGGCAGCCCCCCATCAATGCAGTGGGGTGGGGAACCTTTGCACCCCCAGCTCACCTCGGGGTGCGGGGAGTGGGCGGCCGGCGGTGGGGACGGGGCTGGGGGGCAGCGGGGCTGCGTGGGGGGCTGAGAGAGGGACTGAGGGAGGGGGTGAGAGAGGGACTGAGGGAGGGGGTGAGAGAGGGACTGAGGGAGGGACTGAGGGAGGGGCTGCCGCCTGGCCCCCGGCTCCAGCCGCTCCTTCAGCCCCTCCAGGCGCAGCCCCAGGCGGTAAATCTCCCCTTCCACTGCCCTGCAAGACACCAGCCATCAGTGCGGGGGGACAGCGGCCCCCGGGGGCTCTGGGGAGGGGGTGGCAGAGGGATCGAGCACGCACCGGTCAGGGTCAAACCCTCCCGCAGCCTCCGGGAGCTGCTGCCGGCACCGCAGGTATTCCCGCTCCAGCGCATCCTGCGCGTCCTTCAGCATCCTCATCCTCTGCGGCACAAGGGTGCGGGGTCCGAGCCTGTCCACTGCAACCCGGGCACCGCCACCCCCCGTGCTCCTGCCGCCCCCCCGGCTGGGCTCCGGGAAGGGGCTGACACACCTGGAGCTGTTCCGAGAGTGTTGGGGTCCCTGCACGCATCCAGCTTTCGAAGGATTCCACCTGGCCGGGATTGTATGGGCTGAGCTCCCTCCGCACCCCCTAGACCCTCCCCCATATGAAGCACCCCTAAACTGCACCCCCCTCCCCAGCCTTTCTTCCTTCTCAGCACCCCACAACACTCCCCCTCCCCACAGCCCCCTCCTGCAGCATCTCCCCAACCCCTCCAACCCAGACCCCCTCAGCAGTTGCCCCACCACCCTGTGCAGCGCTTCCCCAGCCTATCCCTAGAGTCCCCTCCAGAACTCCCCCAAAATCCCCGCTGCCCCACCCCTGCAGCCCCCAAAGCACTCTCCCCAAAAGAACTCCATGCAGCCCCCCCGAAGCCCCCCTCCTCACAGCCCCCAGCACTCCCCTCTACAGCTCCCCTTTCCTGTATCTCTCCATGCCCCAGCCCCCCAGCAGCCCCCCATCCTCACCTGTGCCTGCAGTCTGCGGCTCTGCCCCGCCAGTGCCCGGGTGAGCCGGGGCCCGGGGCAGCAGCACGGCCCGGGACAGGTGGGGCAGCTCCCCCCGAGCAGAGGAGGGGACCGAGGTTGGGGTGAACCCCCCCGCTCTGACGGTCCGGGGGCTGCAGCTGCGAGAACACACGAAGACAAGTGACACACAGCACCGGTGATACCGGCGTGCAGAAGGGGATGTGGGGGAGCATCCCCCCAGAACCGGAGCAGGAGGGCGGTGAGCCGGGCAGGGCACAGGACCAACACACCTGTACCTGGCGAGGCCGGGGCTGTGGCCGGGGCTGCGGCCATGCCGAGAGCCGCAGTCCGTGCCTGCGGGATGCTGAGGGTCATCACCCGGCTCCCGGTGGCCACGGTGCCCATGGCGAGGCTGCGGCTGGGCTGTGGCGGGTCGGAGAACAGGCTCACCTGGGCAGGGAGAGCGGGTTTGGGCAGGCAGCCTGCACCCCGACCCACCCTCCGTGCCCCCGGGCACCCTGCAGCACCTCACGGGCACGGCAGGCGGGTGGGGTGAAGGTGGGGACACCCGTGCGGGGGTCGGTTGGCACAGCCCTGCCTCAGTTTCCCCACCCACGCGGTGGTGCAGGGCGGGAGGTGGCAGAGGTGACACGGGGACGCGCTTCCGCCCGTGGCCCTGCCATTTCAGGGACGTGCCCCGCCACCCCGGGGACAATCCGGCACAGCCACCACCTGGCACCGAGGGGACCCTGCCAGGCGAGCTCCCCAGGTTGATGTGGGCTCTGCGGTGACCTCAACCCCCCCCTCCCTGGGCTGGGACAGCTCAACCACAGCTCCCCGGGAGGAGAAAGAAGAGGAGGGCCAGGGGAGGAAGACACAACAAATAACCTCAGGGCTTGGGGAGCAGAGTGGGGAACCCCCCCCAGGCATCCCCACTCACCCTGGCGCCCAGGCGCAGCTGGTCGATGGTGTTCTCAGCCTCGGCGTACTTGGTCAGCAGCTTGTGGTAATCGTCCTGCGGGGAGGGGACACTGAGGGTGACAGCACCCGGCACGGGGGATGCCCCAGGGGTGGGTGCTAAAAGGGGGAGGCAGCTCTGGGTGGTGACAGGAGGCCCATGGGTGGGGTGCAGAAACGCCCTCTCCAAAACACCCGACCCATCCGTGCAGATGTGGCCCTCTCTGCTCTGCGTGCGGAGAGCTCCCTCTCCTCCCAGGGGGACAAACATCCTGAGGGTGACAAGCTTTGGAGGGGTGACCGCCATCCCGGGGGGACATGAGCATCCTGGGTCCAGCCTCAGCACTGCCCACATTCCTGCTCCTTCCCTCCTCGCCAGCTCCATGAAGGGGTGACCAGCACCAAACCCCCATCGGTGTCCCAGGGACAGTGGCACCCCCATTCCCCTGGTCTCTCTGGCTGAGCCGGGGGGAGCTGGGCGTTACCTGCAGTTGCTGCACCAGCGCCGTGGCTTGTCTGGGGGACCTCAACTCCTGCGGCAGCCCGGCCGTGCTGGGGGGCTGCGGGGACGCCCCCTCCCCGCTGCTCAGCAGCACCTCCCGGACGATTTCGGCCGGGGATTTGAAGCCGATGGGGCCGCCGGGGCCGCGGGGGCGGGCGGGCAGCACCCGTCCCCGGGGGGGGCGGTAGCTCTGGCCGAACTTCACCCGCGCCTCCACCTTGGACAGGTCGGGCAGGGGGTGGTTGAGGCGCCCTCGGCCGTACTGGGTGCCCTCGGTGCCCGTTCCCGAGGGATCCCTCGTCCCCTTGCCACCCGTTCGCCTCCGGGGGCTCAGGGACCGCGACTGCCGGGCAAGCTTGGAGGGCACCGCTGCGGGCGCTGCTTTCTTGGGCACTCGGGATCTGTCGTGCCCTTGGGGTGCCGGGGGATCTCCAGCGCCCTGGGGCTGCCTGGTGGGTGCCAAACCAGCGGTGCGGGGGGCTGGCATCCCTGTGCCAGCTGTCTGGGGCTCGGGGACACGCTCGGGGCTGGGGTCACTGGGGGAGATGTGCAGGGGGAGGCTCGGTCTCGGGGTCCACTCCTGCCTGTGCCCCTCGATGGTGTCCCCGGCCGTGCCCCAGCCCCGGTGCTGGCGCGACGGGGTTGCAGGGCCAGGGCTGGTGTCCGACAGCCCTGAGGTGTCCCCGCCGTCCGTGCTGCAGCCCCGGGGCTGGCAGAGAGCCCGGCCGTCCCTCAGCGCCTGGGGGCTGCCGCTGGAGCCCGAGCCCAGCTCGGGGTAGGGCTCCCCATCGCTCTCTGCCCCCCAGGGCCCCTCGTCCCCCACGGAGCTGCCCCGCTCCTCGTCCTCCTCGGCCGGGTCCTGCCGCGGCTGCCAGCGCCCCTCGTCTGCCGGGGACCCCTCGTCTGCCGGGGACCCCTCCTCCAGCTCCTCACTGTCACCTGCAAAACAGCGGCACCGCGGGGCTGTCGCCACCCAGACCCAGCCGGTGTCCCCTGCCCACCTCGTAGCCCCTGGGACGTTTGGGACCACCCATTTTGGGCAGGACTCACCCCACGGTGGGCTCCTGGCACCCTCCCCCAGGCCGATGACCCCATCCTCGTCCATCCGCCTTTCAAAGTCGTCTTCTTCCTCCTCCTCCTCCTCCTCCTCGCCCTGCCAGCGCGTCAGCTCTGTTTGTGTCCAGCGCAGCCATGGTGCCGGGCTGGCCATGGCCGCGGGCGCGCCGGCCCCGTCACTTGTGTCGCTTCATGGCCCGGCGGCGGTGGCGGCGGGCTGGGGACCTGCTTGTCGCGAATGTAGGTCACAGCATCGCCGCCGCGTCCTGGGGGGGCCGGGGGAGAGGGAGGGATGCTCAGCGGGACATGCTGGGCTCTGTTTGAGGTGTTTCCCCCGCGCTGGCTGGGTCTTCCCTGCGCCCCAAATCCCGGGACAAGAGCAACCCCCGAGGACGACGGACACTCTCGGATCAGACCCCCCTGCTCTGTGTCCCACCACGAAGCTGGAGCTGCCACATCTCTCCAAGCCCCTCAGGGCGACCCCAAAAGGTTTGTCCCCCAGCCCATGCTGGCACCCTGTAGATGTCACCCCAGCTCGGCAGCCACACCCTGGGGACCACCAGCAGTGCTGGGGAGGCAGGAGCACCGCAAAGACCCCTCTGGATGTGGGGGCTGACAGTGAGAGGGATCACAGCAGAGACCTGACACACAAATTCCACTGATGGTCCCAAAGCATGAGCTCTCCCCTCACCCCCACGAGGGGTTTTCAACAGCAGCCGGAGAAACGCCGGATGTCAAAACCCCAAATGTGGGGTGTGGCAAGAAAGGCCACGGGGTTTTCCAACCAATGCCCCCTCTGCTGGATTTGAGCCCCATAAACCCAAAGTTTGGCCTGGGGGGCCAAACCAGGCACCACCAGCCCCATGCAGGGGACACTCACCATGTACCAGCAACCCCAGACATCCCCATCACCGTGACCCCATGGGGAGTCCTTCGGGAGCACCCCGAAACCTTCCTGTGCCTGTGGGGCAGCCTCCTTTTGCAGAAGGAGGAAATGATGTTTCCTGAAAGTTTGCAGGTGGCCACAAAAGTTTTAACCCCATCCGGCCCTGCGCAGTGGGGGCTGAACCCTCCTCCCACAGCATTTTCCATCAAAACCCTTATTTTTTAATCCAGTTCAGAGCAAAATGCTGTAGGAAAGGAGAGGAGTGAGATCCCTGGGACCATCAGCAGTTGGTCCAAAAAACATCAGCATGAGGACCTTCCAGGAGACCTAAAATTAAGCTTTAAAACCCCAAAATTCAGCCAGGTGGATCCCATCCGTGGAAATTTCCCCAGATTCCCAAAGGGAGGGTCCAGCTGGTCCCATCCTGGGATGCTGCTCACAATCCCGGGGATGCTGTGGCTGTACCCAGGAGCTGTGACCTGTCTTGGCACATTCACAGGCAGCCAATTAAGCTAGCTTGTTACTGTGTAATTAGTGGCACGCAGAGGACAGCTTGACAAGCTAATAAAACCACAGCGCAGTCCCTGGAGTGGCTGCTCTTAGCCAGAGGGTGCTGTGGTGATTTAGGGGTGCTGTGGTGATTTTGGGGTGCTGCTGGCTCCGGGATGGTGGTGATGAGGAGTAAACCTATCCATGGCACCCACGTGCTCTGGGAAAAGTCCTCTCATCACTCCCAAGCCTCAGATCTGCAAATTCCTTGGGTATTTGTGAGGTTTGAGGTTATTTTCCAGCACCACTTACATCATCCTTGCATCAGCCTTGCTCCTAACCCTGCCTGCATCCTTGGGGCATTCCAGGCAGGAGCAAACCCCAAAGCATCCCTTAGGGTCTTGCAAACCTCCTGGGGGATTTGCATGAGGTTTTCCCCCCACACACCGAGGGGATAACTCCATTCTCCACACCTGGAGATGCTCCACAGCTTCTCCTGCCCCCGGCAAGGACGGGGCTGCCCATGGGATTCTTCAGACTCTGAGCTACTGAAACCGAAGAGGGATTTTGGCTTTAGCTCCTCCCTGAGCTGGGATGTTTCCAGCCCCAAACCCTTACACATAACCCAGAGATCCCCACCAAAGTGCCTCCCATCCCACCTCGAGCCCTGCAGGATCCCAGAGAGACGAGGAGCCCCAAACACCACGCCCAGGATTCCCAGAGGGAGAGTACTGGGTGAAAGGAGCCTGGGGGTTCTCTTCTCTTGGGATAAAGGGGGTTAAAACATTCCCAACCCATTACTGATGTTTCTTTAACCTCATCCCGGGCAAGGGATGGGGATTTTGCATCTCTTGAAGGAGGCCATGCCTAACCCACATGCCCCTGGTTGTCACCCCATTTCTGAGCAGTGGTGCCCACATGCACAGCCCACAGCAGCTGCAGTCTGCAGGATCCACTTCCAAACCCAGCCACATTTACTGCTTTCCCAGAAAGTCCCTCTGCTGATGGTCATGGTGACAAGAGTGAAAAAGCTCAGATTCTTTTCCCCCCTCTAAGTGATTTTTTCGCTGTTCTGGGAGCACAGAAAAGCTTGAAAAATGATGTGGCTTCGTGCTCAGCAGCCACAAATCAAACAAAAACAATCCCAAATGTGTGTGCAGAAATACATCCATATATTTTAATTTTCCTCTTTGAAAGCCAGGATTTTTGCAACAGGCAACTGAAAACAGAGCTAAAAAGAAATTTAAAAGCCTCAGCTAGAAAACCCTCAACTCTGCTCTGCCCCAGCCCCTCAACCCCTCTCCCACCCTACAAATCCCAGCCAGGGCTGTCCCAAATTGAGGCTCGGGGTGGAGGTGCTCAGCCGAGGGAGGGATGTCCCAGCAGTGCTGCCAGGTCTCTGTCTGTCCCTGCCCTGGGTTCCAACCCCCTGATCCTTTCTGCAGGCAGCGATCCCATCCCTATCCCACTCCCGGCCCTGCAGGAAAGACGGAGGTGTGGGGCTGAGCCCGCCCAGCTCATTACAGTGTGGGGCAGGGAAGCAGCAGCCGTCAAGGCCAGCACGAAGCCATCGTGGCTCCTGGGTTTATCAGTGGTGACAGCAGAGGAGACAGGAGCATCCTCCGCCCCAGGGCTCGCTCGGTGACAGGGAAGGGGGGGACAGGGCTGCTGTCACTCTGCCTTCACTGCCTTGTCAACCCCGGGCAGAGCAGGGGGATGGGGGGGCTCTAAACCCCACACCTCCATCCCCACATCCTCTGAGTGATGTGGAATTACCCTCCTTCCCTCTGTCCCAAAAATCGCTTGTCTGGGACGCGTTAAAGCCCCCCCTGCACATCCGTGCCCGACTGGGATGCAGGGGGGGCTTAACCTCCGCCCCAGGCAAGGGATGGATATTTTGCATCTCTTTTAGGGAGGTTTGAAGGAGGCCAGAACGGCCTCGGGCTGAAACTTGGCAAGGGATGTCTGCGCTCCAGGAGGGAGAAATTCCTGGTGTATAAACCCTTTTTTAAAGCCCACAGAGCCCCGTTTTTATAGCCATGAAAGAAGGCAGAGAAGCGGAAACGCTGCGTTCTTAGTTTGCATTATTTCCTACTAGAACAAGGGCGGGACCATCACAGCGAGGAAGAGCCTGACAAACCTCCGTCGTCTTTGAAAGCACACGCCTGTCACCATCACTCCAAAGCCCACGTGTCACCCCAATTCCAGTGGCTGGGGGGGGCTACGTCCCCCCCAGCCCCCCATACTGGCACAGTCCCATGGAGAGGCACCAAACCCCCGTGGAAATGCCATTTTTCCATCACTCGCGCCGAAACAAAGCCCACGGCAGGACAGCTCCTCTTTCCCACTCCCTCCCTGGCACACGGACCCTCCTGCCCCGGCCGGGGACACCCCGGGTGCACCCCCAGGGCTGAACCCCAGACACCCGCAGGGCTGGATGTCCCTAATGCCCTGAAGGACAGCCTTAATCCCCGTCTGGAGAGCGCTGCCGCTGTCCCCGAGCCGCAGCCGGTGGCACTGAGATCCCTGCTTAGCACAGGGCAGCGAGAGGCGGCGGGGACACGGCAGGGCAGCTGGCCCCGGTGATTGTGCAGGGCTGAACCAGCCACAGCTGCTCTGGGCACCCTGTGCCACGGCCCCGACCTCTCACAGCAAAGATTTTCTCTCCAATATCCCATCTAACCCCGCTCTTTGTCAGTTTGAAGCCATTCCCTGTGTCCTGTCCCTCCATCCCTTGTTCCCAGTCCCTCTCCAGCTGTCCTGGAGCTCCTTTAGGCACTGGGAGCGTCTCTGAGCTCTCCCTGAAGCTGTTTCATCCTCAGCTCTCCCAGCCTGAACGGACAGTGCCCGCCCTGCCGCGCTCTCCGGCTGCCCTTGAACTTTAAGAGGCGATTTAAGCCTTGCCCGGAGGGTACCGAAAGGCTGCGGCTGAGCACGGGACACCCGCGGGCACCCACGGGCTGCCAGGAACACGGCTGTCCTTTAAATAAAACGCGGAACTGAAGCTGAACTTGCTCGGAGGAGCCGCCGGCAGCTCCCGGCCCCGCAGCCTCGGCCGAGCCCCGGCCGTGCCTCCGAGCCGCCTCCGCAGCCCCTGACGAAACTCTGCCGGAATCCTCCGGCCCCGGCGGGGAGGAGGCACCGCCACAAGAAAAGTTACGACAAGTTTCCTCGGGGCCACGACAGCTGGGATGGCGTGGAGAGGACACGCCTCGGCCAGGAGCGGCGTGTCCCGCATCCTCCCGCCGTGTCCCGCATCCTCCCGCCGTGTCCCATGTCCTCGGCCGCAGGGACCCCGCCTGGGCTGGGGGATCCCCCGCTCCCGGAGCCCAAGCAGCTCCTGGCTGCGAGACAGCCCTGCCCGAGCCGGGCTCAGCAGAGCCGGCAGCTCTGGATGCGGCCCCGGGATGGGGCCCGCGGGCTCTGTCTCCAGCTGTGCCTCCAGCTGTGCCTCCGGCGGCGCCCCGAGGGCCCTCTCCTTCCTTCCAGCTGCAGCAGGCGGCTTGCAGGGAGCAGCCGAGCCATTCCCGTTCCCCCCCGGGCACAGCTGGGGCACATCTGGCCCGAGGGCAACGCTGGAGAGGCGCCCCCAGCCCCGCGCGCTGCCCACCTGTAGGGAGGGCCCGGCCGGCGCCTCCTCGGCCGGCGCTGGGCGGCTCCGGTCCCGATCCCGATCCCAGTCCCGGTTGTGATCCGATCCCGGTCCCGGTGCTGGCCACGGTCCCGATCCAGCCCGGCCCGGCCCCGCCGGACAAAAGCGCGGCCCGCGGCGCCAGGGGGCGGGGCCTCCCCTCATTAGCATACCCGCGGCACTCAGCCAATCCGTGTATGGGGTGGGAGGGCGTTAGCATAAACCCCGCCCACCCTTCATTTGCATATCCCGCCGCTGGCGGCCAATCACAGCAGCGGCTGACGGGACCTCATTGGCATAATTTATGCAGCGCGGGCACCCCCTGGCGGAGCGCTGCCCATGGATGGGATGGCATGGCATGGCATGGCATGGCATGGCATGGCATGGCATGGCATGGCATGGCATGGCATGGCATGGCATGGGGCTGACACAGACCATCCCCTCCCTGCCCACCACTACCACCACTGCACTCCCAGCCACCCTGCCAGCCCTGGGAAACTCCCAGGATATTAAGGAAAATATCCCTGCCCCTTCCTACCCCCTCATCCCAGCCCCAAAGCACAGCCTTTTTTCTACCCTGATAGATTTATTGAAAAATTAAAAGCACAAGCTCTGTATATATAAATACGACGACATTGCCAGCGATTTACAAGGCCTCCAGTTTCTCTCTCTGCATCCCCACCCACCTGGGCACCTTGGGGACCACCCAAGGGAGCAGCAACCCCCCAAAACTCCCTCCAGGGGCCCACTTGCTGTGTGTGTGGCACTCAAACGACAGCAGGGACACCCAGACTGCGCTGTCCTCCTGTCCCACTCTCAGGCTGGCCGAGGGGAAAGGATGTTCCCTACCCCAGAGAGGACAGGGACGGAGACTGTAAGGGATGTGCCCGTTCTCAGCCTGCCCTATGCGAGGCAGTGGGGACATTTGGGGACAAGCTGGGGGTGTCTGCGCGTGCGGGGTGGCGCGGCCGGCGAGGGGAACGCTGCTGTCACAGCTCGGCGCCATCCTTCATCCCCATCCGAGTGCTCCCCATCCGCCAAACCCCGCTCCTAAAGGGCCACGTTGAATTCTGTGACCAGGAAATCGATGTAGTCCTTTTCCTTCAGCTTAAAGGCCTCGGCGATGATGCGGGCGGCTTCCCGGTGCTCTTTTCCTCGCAGCCCTGTGCCGTTCACCTCCAAAATGACGTGTCCCACCTTCAGCTTCCCGCAGTTGTGTGCCGAGCCCCCCCGCTGCAGGAGAGAGAGGGGTCAGCTCATGTTCCCACCACTCTCTGAATCAACCAGGGGGAAAAAAAATCTTCGTATCTGACATGATGGATGTGAAATATTTCACTTTTTGGGGAGAGGGGATGAATTTGGCTTCTCCCCTGCTTGCTCGTGGAGCGTGACGCCAGCTGGGATGGCCAAGAATAACCAAGGCAGAGTCGGCTCTGCTTTTTTTTTGCTGCAAATAACTTGAGTTTTGCCCCAAGTAAACGGCAAACAGGGAGACGGCTCCAGAGGGCTCAATTCCCTGGCTCCCATCCACCATTCCCCCCTCCTCAATCCTCTGTCTGGCAGTTTCCAGACATCTGGAGACAGCAGCCAAGCTTTCAGGACTGCCCTGATCCTTTCAGAGATGTCTGGAGCAAACAGCTGGCTCCCAGGAGGGGTGTTCTGGGATGGGATCATCCGCGGGACACAGACGTGGCCTGGGGAGGTGCGAGGCTGTGGGGAGGGGACAAACCCCCAAAATCTCCCTGGTCAGGGCTCAAGGGCTTTCCCAGGGTGCCCAGGGAGGAGAGGGATGTACCTGGATGGTGACGATGCGGGGCAGCGGCTGCCGCGTGTTCGCGCCGCCCTCGATGGCGATGCCCAAGGTGGGAGCGCTCTTGGACACCCGGATCAGACACGACGTGGGCTCCAGGAGCCCTGGCTGTGGGGACAGATGGCAGCACTGCCAAGGGGGCCTGGACACCGTGTGCCAGCTGTGCTCCCTCGGCCAGGGCCCCACAGCAGGCAGGGACATGCTGGCTGCCCCCACAGAGGGACAGGCACAGCCTGCAGTTGACATCTAAAATCTAAATTCTAAAATCTGACTCCTGACATCTAAAGTCCCAACTCTGGGTGGGTCTGGAAGGGTTTGGGAAGGAGCAGAGCAGCTTTCTGCCTGCCTGCCTGTGTCCCTCAGCCTCAGCACTATCAGAAACCCTCTAAGTTATATCTGATACCCACTGCCACCTTCTTTTTCGAGCAACAGGTGACTTCACTCATGTGGCTTGTGCATGCCCCTTTAGAGCCAGAAATTCTCCTATGCTCCAGGTAGCTGCTTGCTGGAGCTGGGAGGGGTGAGATTTACCCAGGACAGAGTGAATCAGCCCTAGAGTGCCCCTCTCAGCCACTCCTGACCCCTTTCTCAGCCCCACAGAGAGCTCGGCAGAAAGGATAACTATCCCAGCAGAAAGGATAACTATCCCAGCTAAGCACGGACACGTGGCTGCTGCCTGCGGGCAGAGGGAGTGGAACGGGCTGGCCGAGGCAGGGGGGCACAGCCCCAGGTACCCCCTCCCACACAGAGCAGCACCCCAGCCCCCCTCACCGGCTTGGAGGCCCCTTCTGCCGCCCCCTCGCTCCTCGTGGCCTCCTTGAGGCTCCGGCTTTTCCCGGCGCCTGGCTGCCGGCTCTTGTCCTTGCCGCTCGTCTCGACCTCCCCGATGTCCACCCCGCTGTCCTCGCTGAGGGTCTGCCCGCTGTCCGACAGCTGGGAGAGCGTGGAGGCTGGGGAGACACGCGGCGTTAGCGGGCGGGCAGCGCCAGGGCCGGGCTGGCCGAGCGCCCACGGGGCACGGGCGAGGGCAGCTCCACTCCAGGGCTGGGCATTCCCTGGCATTCACACCGGGGCTGCAGAGCAAGGCTCCCAAGCTGAGCCCTCCAGGACCATGGAATTGCTTAGGTGGGAAAAGCCCTCTCAGATCATCGAGTCCAACCACAAGAGCAGCACTGCCAAGGCCACTTCGAAATCATGTCCCCAAGTGCCACATCTACACGGCTTTAAAATTCTATCAGGGATCTCCTGAAATTCTTTCATAGGATCTCCACCACTGCCCCAGGAAGCCTCTCCCAATGCCTGACCACTCCTTCAGTGAAGAGATTTCCCCAATACCTGAAGCTCCCCTGGTACAGCTTGAGGTCATTTCCTCTTGTCCTGTCCCTGTTTCCTGGGAGAAGGGTTTGACCCCAACCTCCCTGCACCCTCCTGTAAGAACAGCAGAGCTGTGCACACAGCAAGCATCAAGAGACAAGTGGCCTCAAACTCTGGTCTGGAATCCAACCCAGATCCCAAACTGGGATGGAGGGAGAGAGTGATGAATTCAGGGATCCTGCTAGAGGCCAGTTTATGCAGCCCATGCTCCCTAAGCAGGTCTGGGAGGAGACAGGGACGAAGCCAAGCGGGGGGGTGCTGCCATGTAGGAGCTTTCAGCCGTTTGAGGATGAGGCTGGAGATGTCAGCAGCAGCAGTCGAGGCTGGAGAGGCGCTGCCGCTGACCCGCGTTAACCTGCGGCACGGGCCGGCTGCAGTGACGGCACCGCGCCACACGAGGGCGACATTGCCACTCCCGTCCGTCCCGCAGCTCCGGGATCCCCGGGATCGTCCTGGACCCCCGGGATTGCCCTGGATCCCCCTGGACCCCCGGGATTGCCCTGGATCCCCCGGGATTGACTGGATCCCTCTGGACCCCCGGGATTGCCCTGGATCCCCCTGGACCCCCGGGATTGCCTGGATCCCTCTGGACCCCCGGGATTGCCCTGGATTCCCGAGATTGCCCTGGACTCCCGGGATTCCCCTGAATCCCCCTGGACCTCCAGGATTCCCCTGGATCCCCAGGAACCCCCTTGACCCCCGAGACTCTTCTGGACCCCCGGGATTCCCCTGGACCTCTGGGATTCCCCTTGATCCCACTTCTCTCTCCATCTCTGAGAGACCCCCTCTTAATCCCCCTTTTCTCTCCGAGGATCCCGGGATTCCCCTGGGGCCTCTCTTCCATCTCCACCTCTGAGAGCCCCCCTGGATCCCCCTTCTCTCGCCATTTCCGGGACCCCTTGGGACCCCTCACACTGCTCCCTCTCCACCACTTCTTTTTCCTGGGATAAATGTGACTCCCGAGCTGAGTGTGGGCACAATTAGGTTTTTTTTCTCCTCCAAAAGACACAGTTAACAGGAAAAGACCAGAATTATTTCTGGTCCTTGAGATCACAGAATCGCCTGGGTTGGAAGGAGGGGTCTTAAAGCTCATCCCATCCCACTCATCCCACTCCCTGCCATGGGCAGGGACATCTTCCACTAGAGTGAGCCCCATCCAACCTGGCCTTGGGCACTGCCAGGGATCCAGGGGCAGCCACAGCTGCTCTGGGCACCCTGTGCCAGGGCCTGCCCACCCTGCCAGGGAACAATTCCTGCCCAATATCCCATCCAGCCCTGCCCTCTGTGTCCTATACCGCCATCCCTTGTCCCCAGTCCCTCTCCAGCTCTCCTGGAGCCCCTTTAGGCTCTGGCAGGGGCTCTGAGCTCTCCCTGGAGTCTGTCCAGGTGAACACCCCCAGCTCCCTCAGTCTCCATAGGAGAGATGCTCCAACCTTTGGATCATGAGATCCAAATCGAACCCTTGAGATCTGTGTCCTGTCCCATTTATCCCTCTCTGAACACCCCAGGGATGTTTTTTTTCCCAGCTGCTGAGGTGACACCCACCTCTGGCCTGGGGCAGGGGCCTCACTTCGTTGACGTCGGGCTCGCTGTTGGGCTGGTGCACCTCCACCATGATGAAATGCTGGTTGGCCACGGCCTGGGGGCTGCCCTTGTCCGGGGGAGGGGGCGCGGGGTGCGCGGGCGGGGGAGGAGGGGTGGGGGACGGGGGGCTCTGGAGCCCCTCTGGGGATGGGCTCTTGAGCCTGGTGGGGGACTGCACCCTGGGGAAGGGCCCGATGGGGTGCTGGCTGAGCAGGGAGAGCTGGGGGTCCCTGCGGGAGCCGTGCAGGGACGGGGAGATGGTGGCGTAGATGGCGCTGGGGGCAGAATCCTCGGTGGACGTGGAGGCCGTGGAGGTGACGCTGACCGTGTCCTTCTCGGGGGGGTTGGCAGGGGGAGAGGGGTTTCGGGGGGCCACGAAGAAAAGGCCGGACTGGGAGGACTCGGAGGAGGGGCGCTTGGGTTTGTCCTTCCCCGGGAGCCGGTGCTGGGCAGAGGAGGGCTCCAGGGTTTGGGGAGCTGATGGAGGAGGAGGAGGAGGCTTGAAGTTGGGTGGTTCCTCTGGGAAGGAGGAGAGATCATCCTGCCAAAGCAAGCACAGTTGGTAGGACGCCATGCCCGGCTCAGTGCACCTGCATTCCTCACACTGACATGGCTATAGGAGCTGGCTGTTACACCAACACCTTCCTGAGCTCCTGACAGTATGACTCACAAATGAGCACAGCTGCACAACGACCCACCCAGCCCTTGGTTTGCACATGGCTGCTCCTATCCAGGCAGCCAGAATCCTTGTCCTGAGCCCACCTGATCAGCTGGGCTCAGTGTCTCCCCAGGGGCTGACGTGGCAGAGCTGCTGAAGCTGAGGCACAAACCCAGCACCCCCAGTCTGCCTCCTGCTCCCACCCAGCCCCGTGCAGGGCCTTACCAGGGACACATCTGGCAGGGTGTTGATGCTGCTCTGGTGGCAGTCCCCAGCTCCCTCCAGCTCTGACGTGTTCTGAGGGGGCACAGAAGGAAGAGACAAGCATGGCACAGCAGCAGGAGCAAGCAGCACAGTGCCAGTGTGACAGGGACAGGCAGAGGGACGCTCCAAACCCCTCCCCATCCAGGGCCAGCCTCACCCAAAGGTGTTTGCCTCCTTGGGGGTGCCCTGGGGACCCCCAGCTTTGTTGGGATACAGGCTCTCCCAAGCTAAGGGGTGTGCTCAGAGCATGCTGTGGACTTGATATGTGTGGGGTGAGCTCCAAACCAGCTGCTCCTGCTGAATTTGGAAGGAGGGAAGGAACCAGCCCTGAGGGCTGCAGGTTCAGTCCCTGCATTTTTTTTTTTCCCCAGAGGAAGGACAATAGAAATTTAAAACTCTCTTCCCCTGCAACCCAGAGCATTGGGTCCCAGATGCAAAGAGAAGCCACTGCCACTGCTTTATGAGTCCAAAAATATCACCAGGAAATGCCACACCACGGCTTGGAGGATATCACAGCTCCAGAAACCCAGAAGGGATTTCCTGTGGAGATCTGTCAGCAGGGATGGGCCCAGGGAGAGGATGCAGCCAAGCAGAGCAAAGCTGGCCAAGGCAGGGGTGGCAGAGTGGGGGGCACAGCGGAGCTGGGGGTGCAGCTCTGCCCTGGGGAGCTGTGCTGACCCTGCTGAGGGAATCCTCTGCCAGGGGGGACCATCCTGGTGCTCCTGCCAGGGCACACCCAGCCTCAGGCTCCCCTGCCTCAGTGCCTGTGCTCTGGAGGGAGCTGCTGCTGCTCTGAGGGCTGAACTCGGCTCCCGTCACGCCCGAGGGGCTGTTTGGATGGGGCAGGGCACAGTTTGTGTTTAAGTGCCTGTTATTTATTGCAGGGTAAACAGCTGATTAGCTGGAACGCTGGTGCATCTGCATCTCCCCCAGCTGCTGGAGGCTGCTGCTGTGCTTGTGAGATGTTCGTGTCCCAAAATAGACACGGGAGACAATTAAGACCATTAGAGGAGCAGCAAAAACATCGATGCAAAGTGCTTTTATCCCTGTGGCTTCTGAAGGGGCCCTGGAGAATGAGAACACAAAGAAACAGCTTGTTCAGGGAGTGACAGGTAAAGGCCTCGCTTGGGAAAGCTCATCCTCAATTATTGCAACATAAGGGCAAATGGCTTTTAAAAGAGAATCCTCCTCGCAGGAGGATTTGGGTTGAAAAGGACTTTGAAGATATCGAATTCCACCCCCTTCCATGGGCAGGGACACCTTCCACTATCTCAGGTTGCCCCAAGCCCTGTCCAGCCTGGCCTGGGACACTTCCAAGGATGCAGCCACAGCTTCTCTGGGGAATATGACTGACATCAGCCAAACTGTCCCAGTTGTGGAGATACTAAAATGGGAATAATCTACCTGGTGCCCCCTAAAACCTGCCAGGGCCATTTCCCCCAGCCCTGTGCCCACCCCAGGCCACGTCCCAGCTCTGGCCTCGCAGCAAGGACCAGTGTGTGTGTGGAGCTGTGGCTGCTCTGCAGAGCCTGGCTGGGCACAGCAGCTGTCCCTGTGCCCCCCAGTGCCACTGCCAGCTCTGTCCCACCCCAGCCAGGGACACTGATGCTGCTCCTCCTCCTCAGGGCACCTCTGGCTGCTGCAGTGTCTGAGCAGGAGATTTGCCTTTCCCCAGGCTCAGTTCTTAGGGGGCAAAAGTAATTAAACAGTGCTTGCTCTGGGCCATAAAACACAACGACTTTTAAGCCCATTTGCTTCCAGGAATTGGCTATTTCAAGGCTGTGCTTCCTGGATTTCCCTTGAAAGACTCATGGAAGCCACTGCCCTGAAAAATGAGTCTCTATTGAGAAGGCTGCTCCCTCCTGCTCCTCTACCTCATCTATTTTCCAGTTCCCTATAGAAACCGGGGCCAGGTGAGGCCCTCCCAGCCCCTCCTCAAAGCAGCTGGGAAATATTTATCCTTCTTATCCTAAAAAGAGTCCCCAGCAGCAGTGATGGAGCTGCAGAGCATCTTTCAGAGAGGAAGACAGTTTTCATTTGCAGATTAAACGGTGGAGAAACTGCCACCTCCCCGGGGAACACAGCCCAACCTTTAATTAACCTCTCAGCTCCAAATCAGTCCCCTAATTTCCAGTTACTGCTAACGAGAGCTTTGCTGAGCTACCCAGCCTGAGTCCTGCAGGGTTTCAATTTTGAACAACTGCACCAGCCTGGGAATAAGTCTGGCTTCCCTCCCTGCTGGATCCCAGAAACCTGAGGGTTTTTGAGCTTTCTGTGCTTTCTGGCACTGACCCCCTGGAGAACACTGCTTTTGACATGAGGCCTTGGAGAAGGCTCCAAATTTGAGTGATGGAGTTAAAGTCACGGGTGTGCAGTTAAATAGAAGTGTGAGATTTCACATGGTGAAGGGTTTTAAATTTGAGGTTTTTAGAATATAATAATAGGTAAAGGACAAGATGGAAGATTTTGGGTGGTATCTCTTTTTAGTGTTCTTCCTCCTCCTTCTCCATGGTTTCAGGCAGTAGTTTCTGGTTGCACAGTCAGTGCTGCACTGAGGGTCACAGGAGTTTGGTTATCGGGTCAAAAGTATAAATAATATAGGTGTTAATTCTCTCTTGGACTGTTTAGCTTTAAGAGACCTTGTAACTAGCTGGATTCATCTCCATTTTGCTGGCTTTTAGCTGGTAGCTGGAAGTGTTGCACAACTCACTGTACTGTAGATAAGATTTAATAAACAACCAAGCCTGAACATGAGAAAATTTTCTCCTTGTTTTTTTAATCCTGGCTCTGAATGAAGACAAAAGAAATTTCAGACAAGCCACTGATTCAGTGGTGCAAATACTACCCTGTCACACCTCCCCTCTTCCTTTCCATCTCCCACTCTGGAATGCAGCCACAGGGATGGAGGAGCCTCTGCTCCAGAGTTTAGGGGCTCTGAGCATGCATAATGACCTCCACGCAGTCACTCTCATCCTCTCAGAGGATCATTCCCAGCTCCTGGGAATCCTCCACGTGGGATATCCCAGGGAGCTGGGAGCAAGCCAGCACCTCTGGAAGCACCCCTGGGAGGAGAAGGCACCTCTGGATGGCAGCAGCTTTGCTAGGAGGTGGTGGAGAGGAAAAACAAAACCCACAGGGGTATCAATTCCTTCATCCCAACACTGAGGTGGGGACAAAGGGAATGCCAGAAAAAATCAGGAATTCCCACTGCTCTGGTCAGACATGCTGCCCCTGATTATTGCAGTCTGCAGCTGATCTGTGCCCTGCAGGACTCATCTGCAGTCCCAGGATTTCCAGGAGGTGCTGGTGACACTCAGACAGTGGCTGAGCACCCGTGGCTGGCACCGTCCAACACAGCATTGTCTCATTCCCAAGCATCCTTCATGGAATCACTTATCCATGGCAGGGCCTGTCCAGCCTCACCCTGATTGTTTGTGGTGGCAGTTCCCTCACCAAGCCGTGGGACAGGTCTGGTGTCACAGTGTTTGGTCACAAAGCCCAAAAGATCTGTGTCCCACGCTCTGGGATAACTCCATCTGGGAATGCTACAGCATGCTCTGCTGGATGAGAGCCATTCCCACCGGGATGCAGCTCTTGGGGAGGGTTCACAGCTGCAGCTCCCAGCTCTCAGCCCCTGGGAATTCCTCCTGGCTGAGGAGCAGGGAATGAGCTCCACACCCTGCAGCTTCCCTCAGCCTGCCCCAGCCAGGAGCCCCGGGATGCCCAGGGGTTCCCAGGGCTCTCCCACATCCATGCCCAGCCCCTCCACAGCCTGGGTGAGGATTTCTCATGCATGATCCAAGTGCACTGACCCCCTGAGCTGCAGCACGCAGTTTTACACACCCAAGGCCCATGAGGAAAATTCTCCCCCGTGCTAAGGATGTGCTGGGACGTGAGCAGCCTGCTGAGAGAGCTGGGGATGGACAAGAGGAGGCTCTGCAGAGACCTTGTTGTGGCATTTCACTATTGGAGAGGGCTGTACAAAAGATGGGGACAGATTTTTTAACAGGGCTTGTTGTGATAACTTGAAGGGGAACGGTTTTAAACTTAAAGAGAGTCAGTTTAGATTAGATAGAAGATGTTTTATAACAAGGGTGGGCAGGCCCTGGCACAGAGTGTCCAGAGAAGTGTGACTGCCCCTGGATCCCTGGAAACATCCAAGGCCAGGTTGGATGGGGCTCTGAGCACCTTGGTGTGGTTGCAGATGCCCCTGCTCACTGCAGGGCAGTTGAATCAGATGGGCTTTAAAGGTCCCTTCAACCCAAACCATTCTGTGTTCTGTGATTTTCTACACAGTGTTCTTTCTGGTGTTTATCCAGGGTGCCCACACAGGCACTCAGCACAGCAGCAGGCAGGGCAGGGAGGGCAGTGTGGGCTCTGCCAGGTCCCTCCAAAACCCCATCCCCGAGCTGTCCGTGGCACTCGGGTACCAGCTGGGTGTGGTTCAAGCTGAGCCTTGTGTGCACTGCAGCACCAAGGACTGGGGGAAGGAGCTCTTTGTGCAGAGACAGAGGAACAGCAGAGATGGGTGACACGAGGTGGCCGTGCCTCTGCAGGAGCTGCAGCATCCCTGGGCAGCCCTTCCCTCCCCTGCCCACACACACCGAGCCAGCCACTGCAGCCCTACCTCCATCAGGTCTATGAGCCACAGGAGCCGCTCCTGGGATGTGCCGGGGGGAGAGCAGAGGAAAACAAGCACAAAAATGAAAATGTAACGTCAGGGAAGGTGCAGAAAGAAGGAGTGAGCTGAGAAATCCCAGCACGGCGCTGCCCTCGTCCCCCAAAGCCACCCTGCAGAATCCACATCCAGCTGCATGCAGGGCTGGCTGGGAGGGCTGGGGTGAGCCCCTCCTGCGAGGGGTGCTGGGGAGGGAACAGCAGCAGGGGCTGAGGGCAGAGGGAACACTTCGGGAGCCCTGCCCCACATCTCTCTCCTGCTACTCAAGCACCCATCCACCATGAGCTGGTGCACAGCCATCTCCAGTGGCAGCATTCCCATCATCAGGCAGTCCTGTCACCCATGGGGAGAAGTGACACACAGCCAGGGGGTCCTGCAGTGGCACTGGGGGACACGTGCTCCTGAAGAAGCTTTTAAAGCAGTGCTGCCCACTCCCTTCTCTGTGCCTCAGTAGCACCCTGGTGTCCCTCCCTGAGCTCTGGGCGCGTGTGCCAGGTGGGGCTGGGCCACTGCTCACACACTGGTCCAGGCAGCCACGTTTGGCACGTGTTGTGGAGCAGGAGGCACACCTGGAGCACGTGGCACAGCCGCAGGCATGGGCACAGCATGAGAGCAGGGTGTGAGCTCAGCACACCATCCTGGCACACCTGTGCCACTCCTCAGAAAAATTTTCCCAGCAGTTCCTTGGAGAGCAGAGCAAAACTCACTTTGTTTATGCAGATCCAGAAAGGATCACATTGAAATCCCTCCTGTCCTGAGCAGGTGCACTTGTGAATTTGACAGGACAAAAGCACAGGTCTGATGCTCTGACGCTCTCTGAGGTCTCTCACAGGCAGGCAGAGCCCCAGGAAAGCCCCCTCCCCTGTCCCCCACGGGCTGTGCTGGGTGGACCCTCCACAGCCCCATCCCACCACCGTGGGCTGCTTTGCTCGCTGAGGAACCAGCACAGAGCCCATTGTTCCTCCTTCTTTCCATGAAGGGTTTAATTTCCAAGGTTACTAATGCATTTATGATGAAAGGCATTTTACGGCGAGGAAATTAATTTGGGGGCTGTGTGCCTGCACAGTCTGAGGTGATTACAGTAACTTAATTAGACAGTGCGTGTGACAGGGCCTGGCAGAGACGTGGGAGTGCTGCTGCTGCTGAGTGCTGCACAGTGGGCTGGCAATGGATGCAGCTGCCTGGCCACCGGGGCTCCCTCTAGCACGGGGTGCCAACATGCTTAGGGAGGTGGTGTAAGAGCTGGGGAACAGCAGCAGGCATGGCAGGGCTGGGATTTCTGCGTGGATGCAGCTCCAGTGGATTTCTGGAAGCAAGGCAGGCTCTGTCCCTCACTGGGACGAAGGGACACTGAGCCCTTGAGGAGAGGACAGCAGCACCTCAGTGTCAGGGGCACAGAGATACCCAGAACCTCATGGCATCACCTGCAAATCACCCACACTGCACAGAAAAATAACAGCTTTGGGGGAATCCATGGGGGAACCCATAAGGGAACCCATGGGGGAATCCATGGGGGAACCCATAAGGGAATCCATGGGGGAATCCATGGTGGAATCCATAAGGGAACCCCTAAGGGAACCCATAAGGGAACCCATGGCTCCCCGTGGGGTGAAATGACTGTACAGCACTCTGGGGAAAGCAGTTTGCTGTAGGATTGCCAGGAGGAGGTGCTGGAAGGAAGGGGTGAGGCAGGAGGGACGTACCCGGGCCGAGCTGACGGTGGTGGCAGTGAAGTGGCTGCTGGAGGACGAGACGGTGTCGCTGTAGGACATCATGGAGTAGGAGTCGGTGCTGGGCCCCGTGGGCTGCCGGGCCTTCATGGACTCGATCTCCCTCTTCAGCACCAGGTTGTCAAAGCGGTCGAGGTCTTGTGGGGAGATCACCCCCCGCACCTCGGAGAGCAGCGAGAACTGGCCAGGCACACACAGCCAGAGACAGGTTGGGACACAGGCACGTTCCTGGCAAGCTGGAGACCTCCCTCCCACCATGGGCAGCAGTGGCAGGTGATGGAGGAGGTTTCATCCTAAACATTACCAGAAGCTCCTCTGCCACTGAACACCAGCCTGCATCCCCCAGAATGGCCCTGGCACAGGGTGGCTGCCCCTGGATCCCTGGCACTGCCCAAGGCCAGGTTGGACATTGGGGCTTGGAGCAGCCTGGGACAGTGGGAGGGGTCCCTGACCATGGTAGGGGAGTGGAACAAGGTGACTTTTAAGGTTTCTTCCAACCCAAACCAGGGTGGAATTCTGTGCTGGTCCCATGATAAGGCGGATTTGGCTCCCATATCCTCCTCCTTTCCCTGAGCAGATCACCTTGAAGGCACTGGGCCACAGCGTGACAATGTCCACACCGTGGCACACTCTGCTCAGCCCAGCAGCCCCAGGAAGCCATCCCTGCCCTGGGGAGGGCCTCACCTTGGCGTGTGTGTTGAGCAGCTCGAACAGGGCCATGACCAGAGCATCCACGGAGATGTTGCCCTCCTTGTACTCGTCCAGGTAGTAGCCCATGGTGGCCCGCTCCTGTTCGTTGAGCAGGTGCCGTGCCTGCTCCTCCAGCATCACCCGGGTCTGGTTCACCATGGTGCTCAGGGTCACCTGTGAGCCCGCCAGCCCCCGGTAGAACACGGGCTGCAGGGGACAGGGGACAGGCTTGGGGCACTGGGAAGGAGGGCAGTGCTCTGCTGAGACAGCCAGGCTGTGCAGGCTGGACCAAGGAGAGCCCCTGCTCTGGGCTCTGCCCACCAGCCCTCTCTGCCTGTGTGCCAGACACTGCCTGGGGGGAGCTGGAATCACACTGGAAGGAGGATTTGGGGAATGACAGGAGGAAGGTACCCCCAGGAATTCATCACCCTTTCAATATCACCACTTGTTTGGGTAACTCCAGAGCCATGATCAGAGGAGCTGAGCTTTGCTGTCTGTGACAGGGACAGGAGCCAAGGAATGGCTGGAGCTATGTCAGGGTTTGGTTGGAGCTGTGTCAGGCTCAGGCTGGAGCTCAGGGCAAGGTTCTTCCCCCAGAGGGTGCTGGGCACTGCCCAGGCTCCCCAGGGAATGGGCACGGCCCCGAGGCTGCCAGAGCTCCAGGAGCGTTTGGACAGCACTGCCAGGGATGGACAGGCTGGGATTGTTGGGGGGTCTGGGCAGGGACAGGGGCTGCCCTGGGGGATCCTGTGGGTCCCTCCAGCTCAGGAGATTCTGTGATACTCTGATTCTCTGAGCTCATGCAGCATCTGTTGAGTTTCCCACCCCTTTTCAGCAAGTGGTGATCCTGTCCCCCAGCCAGGCAGTGATTTAATCCCAGACTTTGTTCCTCCCTGGCAGAGCTGGGGCCACAGGAGACAGGCCAGCTCCCCATCCTGTGGAAAAGGCACATTTGCCCCCACTGCCAGCTTGAAGCAGACCCTTGTGAAGAAAGAGCCACTGGCAAACAAAGGAGCCCCAGGGAGAGACAAGCCTGGCTGCAGATGAAAGACTTTTTCCCTTTGAGAGGGATTTCTGAGGGGAGGTCCTTAGCGTTTCCTCCCAGGCAGAGCTGGCACAGGGATATGGAGCCAGACAAGACCCTGACTATCCCAGAGACAGAGAGGAGTTGGAGCTGGGGAACATGTTTTGCCAGCAAAGAGTACAAAGCTGTTATCAGTGAGAGCCACCTGTGAAACCTCCCTGCTTAATTTCCATTTAAAAGCAATGTGCTTTGCGAGGAGCTGTGGGGAGAAGATGCTGGCACGGAGCTGCAGGAGTGAATCCCTGTGCCTGGTGAGGGCTGGCTCAGCTCTGCCTCGGGCGGGGACACATCCCTGCAGCTGTCAGGGCCCAGAGACAGCCACCATGAGGAAGGAATCACGGAATCATCACGGTCCTTGTCCATGGATGATCATTGCCCCTTGCCCATTAAGGCTGGAGGGCAGCAGATGTGCTTAGAAGTGGCACAGGAGTAGGGACACCGGTGTCACTCTGTAGAACACAGCTGCCAACATGGCCCATTAAAACCCCAAACCAACATCCCTGCTATAACCGGGAGCACAGGTCCCTCCCTCCCACGGAAAATAAAACACAATAGCAGTGATGTTTGCACAAGGCATCAGGAATGTCTTACCCTGGCTGCCACATCCATGGCATGGTCACCCACTGCCCTGTGAGGAGGGAGAAGGTCAGTTAGCACTGAGCACCTGGCACAGCACCTGGCACAGCACCTGGCACCTTCTCTCCTCTCTGGAGAGCCAAAATCCTCTGTCTGGGAGGGTTTCTGGCAGGAATGGTGGTGGCCAAAATGTTGATGTGACACAGAGGGGTTGCAGTACTCCTGACTGACCTTCCAACCCA